TGTAAGTGTGTGTGTGTAAGTGACACAGTGACACCCACCCACAGTGACACAGTGACACTCACCCACAGTGACACAGTGACACCCACCCACAGTGACACAGTGACACTCACCCACAGTGACACTCACAGTGACACCCACCCACAGTGACACTCACTCCCCTAGGTCGACTCAGCCTCAAATGAGTACCTGGTGCGGTGTGTAAACATCGCCACTGGGGAGACAAAGGCGGTCGGGCGTGGTGCTGGCCACCCACCCCGTTCCGTCCTTCATAGGTGCTACTCGCTAACAGCACCTGCCCCTACAGTCTGTTAAGGCTATACGGGGGATCTTTGTCTTTTTTTCGTGTAAATTTTTACATAAAACTTTGGTGACTGCAGAAATTCATAAACTTTTTATAGCTATGTGACTTTACCGAAAGAACCAAAGAATGTGTAAGTGTGTAAGAATGTAAGTGTGTGTAAGTGTGTGTAAGTGTGCAAGTGTGTGTAAGTGTGTGTGTGTGTTTAAGTGTGTGTGTGTAAGTGTGTGTAAGTGTGTGTAAGTGTGTAAGTGTGTGTGTGTAAGTGTGTGTAAGTGTGTGTGTGTAAGTGTGTGTAAGTGTGTGTAAGTGTGTATAAGAGTGTGTGTGTAAGTGTGTGTAAGTGTGTGTAAGTGTGTAAGTGTGTGTGTGTAAGTGTGTGTAAGTGTGTGTGTGTAAGTGTGTCTAAGTGTGTGTAAGTGTGTGTAAGTGTGTGTGTGTAAGTGTGTAGGTGTGTGTAAGTGTGTGTGAGTGTGTGTAAGTAAGTGTGTGTGTGTAAGTGTGTGTAAGTGTGTGTGTAAGTGTGTGTGTAAGTGTGTAAGTGTGTGTGTGTAAGTGTGTGTGTGTAAGTGTGTGTAAGTGTGTGTAAGTGTGTGTGTGTAAGTGTGTGTGTAAGTGTGTGTAAGTGTGTGTAAGTGTGTGTGTGTAAGTGTGTAGGTGTGTGTAAGTGTGTGTAAGTGTGTAAGTAAGTGTGTGTAAGTGTGTGTGTGTAAGTGTGTGTGTGTAAGTGTGTGTAAGTGTGTGTGTGTAAGTGTGTGTAAGTGTGTGTAAGTGTGTGTGTGTAAGTGTGTAGGTGTGTGTAAGTGTGTGTAAGTGTGTAAGTAAGTGTGTGTAAGTGTGTGTGTGTAAGTGTGTGTAAGTGTGTGTAAGTGTGTGTAAGTGTGTGTGTGTAAGTGTGTAGGTGTGTGTAAGTGTGTGTAAGTGTGTGTAAGTGTGTGTGTGTAAGTGTGTGTGTGTGTAAGTGTGTGTGTAAGTGTGTGTGTAAGTGTGTGTAAGTGTGTGTAAGTGTGTGTGTGTAAGTGTGTGTAAGTGTGTAGGTGTGTGTAAGTGTGTGTGTGTGTGTGTAAGTAAGTGTGTGTGTAAGTGTGTGTGTGTAAGTGTGTGTAAGTGTGTGTGTGTAAGTGTGTGTGTGTAAGTGTGTGTAAGTAAGTGTGTGTAAGTGTGTGTGTGTAAGTGTGTGTAAGTGTGTGTGTGTAAGTGTGTCTAAGTGTGTGTAAGTGTGTGTAGGTGTGTGTAAGTGTGTAAGTGTGTGTAAGTGTGTGTAAGTGTGTGTGTGTAAGTGTGTGTAAGTGTGTGTAAGTGTGTGTGTGTAAGTGTGTGTAAGTGTGTGTAAGTGTGTGTAAGTGTGTGTGTGTAAGTGTGTGTAAGTGTGTGTAAGTGTGTGTGTGTAAGTGTGTGTAAGTGTGTGTAAGTGTGTGTGTGTAAGTGTGTGTGTATGTAAGTGTGTGTAAGTGTGTGTAAGTAAGTGTGTGTAAGTGTGTGTAAGTGTGTGTAAGTGTGTGTGTGTAAGTGTGTGTGTGTGTGTAAGGAAGTACTGAGGGCGATCCGGAGTCTGAGACCAGGGAAGGCATCGGGCAGAGATGATCTCCCAAGCGAAATGCTGAGGGAGGGTGGCGTTTGTGCACAGACTGCCCTATATGACATCATAACAACAGTCTGGACCACTGGACGGGTTCCGCAGGACTGGAAGGATGCCCTGGTGGTTCCCCTCTTTAAGAAGGGGGACCGTACCGACTGTAACAACTACAGGGGCATCTCACTCCTCAGTGTGCCGGGTAAGGTCCTGGCAAGGATTATTCAACATCGCCTTGCTAGGCACGCTGAGGAGAGGCTTGCGGAGCCCCAATGCGGTTTCAGGAAAGGGCGGTCCTGCACAGATGCCATATTTTCTGTCCGTCTGCTACAGCAGAGGTGTAGGGAATTCCAAAAAGACCTACATCTCTGCTTTATTGACCTGGTCAAGGCCTATGATACCATCAGTAGGCCTGGGCTCTGGGTTGTTCTTCGTGCTTTCGGAGTCCCTGACCCTCTGCTCACGATCATTAAGGACCTTCATGATGGTGAGCGGGCCCGGGTAAAACTACGTGGCCGGGAGTCGGAGCCTTTCCCTGTACACCTTGGGGTGCGACAGGGATGTCCTCTGGCTCCCACATTATTTAACATCTATTTTGACCGCGTAGTTCGTGAAGCCTTCAATAGCTGTACCGGGGGAATTTCCATTTGGTACAGATATAATGGGAGGCTGATCGACGCCCGGGTGCGATCAAGGGATGGCTCCCTATTGGTCAACCACGTTATGTATGCCGATGATTTGGTAATAGCTGCTCACTCAGAGGAGGAGTTGGAGACGCTGCTGCTGAGACTGGAGCGTGCCACTAAGAGGTGGGGCCTTACCATCAGCCCCACCAAAACTAAGCACCTGCCTGGGTATTTTGTACCATCGGACACTCCACCCCCACAACTCCCAATTGGTGATGGGGCAGTTGTGGAGAGAGTGGAGAGTTTCCCATACCTGGGCAGTGTGCTTATGACCGGCTCCAGTCTATCAGCAGAGGTCTCACTCCGAATCAGTCGAGCGGCAATATCTTTTCATCGGTTGCGTAACGCTGTGTGGAAGCTACCTGGTCTGTCGCTCCGCACGAAGCTTCAGGTCTTCTCGGCCACGGTCATTCCCTCCCTTCTCTACGCTTGCGAGACGTGGACCCCCCTGGTGGAGCATCTTCGCCGGTTGGAAACATTTAGGCTGGCCTGCCTACGATCCATCCTGGGTTTAACCAGGCTGGATTGTGTGAGGAGCTCACAAATCCTTGAAAGATCTGGGCAAAGTCCCATCAGTGAGCTCCTCCGGCAGGCAAGGCTGCGTTGGCTGGGTCATGTAGCCCGCATGCCCAGCCACCGCATGCCTAAACAGCTTTTGTTCGGCCGGATCGAGGGGGCTAGACGGGCGCGGCACGGGCTGGAGAAGAGATGGAGTGATGTGGTACAGGAGGACGTGGAGCTGAGTGGACTTGCCGATGACTGGTACCAGCGGTGTCAAGATCGGCCTCAGTGGAGGAGGCTCGTGAAGGACGCTACTGGGCAGTTGGAGGCAGTCGCCCTCCAACAACAACGGAGGGCGGAGGAGCGACGCTCACAACAACGAGCGGAGCGCCGGGTGGCTAAAGCACAGCAAGTTGGCACAGTAGGGGGCACAGGTGGTGCATCAGCCAGTCATCTCGGTCATCTCGGTCAGTCGACCCGTGGCACCTGCTGGGTCTGCCCCGTGACCTCCTGCCAGCGGGCTTTCGACACTTCACGTGGCCTCAAGGTGCACTTGGCCTGGCACAAGCATCGTGGTGACGTCACCGCCACTTAGTGGCGAATGGCGGTTGTTGTTGTTGTTGTGTGTGTGTAAGTGTGTGTAAGTGTGTGTAAGTGTGTGTAAGTGTGTCTAAGTGTGTGTAAGTGTGTCTAAGTGTGTGTAAGTGTGTGTAAGTGTGTCTAAGTGTGTGTAAGTGTGTGTAAGTGTGTAAGTGTGTGTAAGTGTGTATGTGTAAGTGTGTGTATGTGTAAGTGTGTATGTGTAAGTGTGTGTACGTGTGTGTAAGTGTGTAAGTGTGTGTAAGTGTGTATGTGTACGTGTGTGTGTGTAAGTTTAAGTGTGTGTAAGTGTGTGTGTGTAAGTGTGTATGTGTACGTGTGTGTGTGTAAGTGTGTGTGTAAGTGTGTGTGTGTGTAAGTGTGTGTAAGTGTGTGTAAGTGTCTAAGTGTGTAAGTGTGTGTAAGTGTGTGTGTGTAAGTGTGTGTGTGTGTAAGTGTGTGTAAGTGTGTGTAAGTGTCTAAGTGTGTAAGTGTGTGTAAGTGTGTGTGTAAGTGTGTGTGTGTGTAAGTGTGTGTGTGTAAGTGTGTGTCTAAGTGTGTGTAAGTGTGTGTAAGTGTGTGTGTAAGTGTGTGTAAGTGTGTGTGTGTAAGTGTGTGTGTGTAAGTGTGTGTAAGTGTGTGTGTGTAAGTGTGTAAGTGTGTGTGTGTAAGTGTGTAAGTGTGTGTGTGTAAGTGTGTGTGTGTAAGTGTGTGTGTGAATGTGTGTGTAAGTGTGTGTGTGTAAGTGTGTGTGTGTAAGTGTGTGTGTGTAAGTGTGTAAGTGTGTGTGTGTAAGTGTGTGTGTGTAAGTGTGTGTGTGTAAGTGTGTGTGTGTAAGTGTGTGTAAGTGTGTGTGTGTAAGTGTGTGTGTGTAAGTGTGTAAGTGTGTGTGTGTAAGTGTGTGTAAGTGTGTGTGTAAGTGTCTAAGTGTGTGTGTATGTAAGTGTCTAAGTGTGTGTGTATGTAAGTGTGTGTGTGTAAGTGTGTGTAAGTGTCTAAGTGTGTGTGTATGTAAGTGTGAGTGTGTAAGTGTGTGAGTGTGTGAGTGTCTAAGTGTGTGTGTAAGTGTGAGTGTCTAAGTGTGTGTGTAAGTGTGTGTAAGTGTCTAAGTGTGTGTGTATGTAAGTGTGAGTGTGTGTGTAAGTGTGTGTAAGTGTCTAAGTGTGTGTGTATGTAAGTGTGAGTGTGTGTGTAAGTGTCTAAGTGTGTGTGTATGTAAGTGTGAGTGTGTGTGTAAGTGTGTGTAAGTGTCTAAGTGTGTGTGTATGTAAGTGTGAGTGTGTGTGTAAGTGTGTGTAAGTGTATGTAAGTGTGTGTGTGTGTAAGTGTGTAAGTGTGTGAGTGTGTGAGTGTATGCGTGTACCTCTGGTGTTGCCGTTTGCGCGTCGGCTCCGGCATTGTGGGGATGGAGCTTTCAGAGCCCTCCCTCAATCCGGCACCACCGCCACCACCACCACCACCACCACCGTGGCCACCGTCACGGCACTCACCACCATCGCCACCGCCGTGGCACTCAACACCACCACCACCACCACCACCGTCGTCACCACCACCATCGTCGTCGTCATCACCAATCCAGTTGACGTGGCCGAAAGTGACGCCGTCAAAGTCGCCGACGATGTCGCTGAAGGCGACGCCCTCCGAGTCGCTGCAGTCGGCGCCGTCGCAATCGCCGATGCCGTCAACGTTGCCGAACATCAGGCGAACAAAGTCGCCGAAGTCGGCGAAGTTGGCCGCGGTGAGGCCCGCGGCTCGGCTAGACGCAGCAGGGCGGTGGCCGCAGGAGCCCAGTCCGTCACCGTCCATCCTGCAAGCTGCACACGCCGTGAACACCGTCACCACCACCACCACCACCATCATCATCACCATCATCACACCGTCACCACCACCACCATCACCACCACCACCACCACCATCACCACCACCACCATCATCACCACCAGTCCGTCACCGCTGCCCTCGCCAGTCCATCCTGCAAGCTGCACACACCGTGAACACCGTCACCACCATCACCACCACCATCATCATCACCACCATCACCACCACCACCATCATCACCACCACCATCATCACCACCACCATCACTACTACCACCATCACCACCATCATCACCACCACCATCACACCCACCACCGTCACCACCACCATCACCACCACCATCACCATCACCACCATCACCATCACCACCATCACCACCACCATCACCACCATCATCACCACCGCCACCACCACCACCATCATCACCACCGCCACCACCACCACCATCATCACCACCACCACCATCACCACCACTACCACCATCACCACCACCACCACCACCACCATCACCACCACCACCACCATCACCACCATCACCACCACCACCATCATCACCACCACCACCACCACCACCACCATCACCACCACCACCATCACCACCACCACCACCACCATCACCACCACCATCACCACCACCACCACCACCATCACCATCACCACCACCATCACCACCACCATCACCACCATCATCACCACCATCATCACCACCACCACCATCATCACCACCACCACCACCATCACCACCACCACCATCACCACCACCACCATCACCACCATCATCACCACCACCATCACCACCACCACCACCACCATCACCACCACCACCACCACCATCACCACCACCACCACCATCACCACCACCACCATCACCACCATCATCACCACCGCCACCACCACCACCATCATCACCACCGCCACCACCACCACCATCATCACCACCACCACCATCACCACCACCACCACCATCACCACCACCACCACCATCACCCACCACCACCATCACCACCATCACCACACCACCATCACCCCACCACCATCCACCACCACCACCATCACACACCACCACACCACCATCACCACACCACCACCATCACCACCACCACCATCACCACCACCACCATCACCACCACACCATCACCACCACCATCACACCATCATCACCACCACCATCACCACACCACCATCACCACACCACCATCACCACCACCATCACCACCATCCACCACCACCACCACCACCATCACCACCACCACCATCACCACCACCACCACCATCACCACCACCACCACCATCACCACCACCACCACCATCACCACCACCACCACCATCACACCACCACCACCATCACCACCACCACCATCACCACCACCACCACCACCATCACCACCACCATCACCACCACCACCACCATCACCACCACCACCACCATCACCACCACCACCATCACCACCACCACCACCACCATCACCACCACATCACCACCCACCATCACCACCACCACCATCCACCACCATCACCACACCACCATCACCACCACCACCATCACCACCATCACCACCACCACCATCACCACCACCATCACCACCACCACCATCACCACCATCACCACCACCACCACCATCACCACCACCACCATCACCACCACCACCATCACCACCACCACCATCACCACCACCACCATCACCACCACCACCACCATCACCACCACCACCATCACCACCACCACCATCACCACCACCATCACCACCACCACCATCACCACCACCATCACCACCACCACCACCTCCACCACCACCACCACCATCACCACCACCACCATCACCACCACCACCACCACCATCACCACCATCACCACCACCACCATCACAACCACCACCACCATCACCACCACCACAATCACCACCACCACCATCACCACCATCACCACCACCACCACCATCACCACCACCACCATCACCACCATCACCACCACCACCACCATCACCACCACCACCATCACCACCACCACCACCACCACCATCACCACCACCACCACCATCACCACCACCATCACCACCACCATCACCATCACCACCATCACCACCACCATCACCACCACCACCACCACCATCACCACCACCACCACACCACCATCACCACCACCATCACCACCACCACCATCACCACCCACCACCATCACCACCATCACCACCACCACCATCACCACCACCATCACCACCACCCATCACCACCACCACCACCATCACCACCACCACCACCATCACCACCACCACCACCATCACCACCATCACCACCACCATCACCACCACCATCCCCACCATCACCACCACCACCATCACCACCACCATCACCACCACCACACCATCACCACCACCACCACCATCACCACCACCACCATCACCACCACCACCATCACCACCACCACCATCACCACCACCACCACCATCACCACCACCACCACCATCACCACCATCACCACCACCATCACCACCATCACCACCATCACCATCACCACCACCACCATCACCACCACCATCACCATCACCACCACCACCACCATCACCACCACCACCATCACCACCACCACCATCACCACCACCATCACCACCACCATCACCACCACCACCACACCACACCACCACCATCACCACCACCACCATCACCACACCACCACCATCACCACCACCACCACCACCATCACCACCACCATCACCACCATCACCACCACCACCACCATCACCACCACCACCACCATCACCACCACCACCATCACCACCACCACCATCACCACCACCATCACCACCACCACCATCATCACCATCACCACCACCATCACCACCATCACCACCACCACCATCATCACCATCACCACCACCACCACCATCACCACCACCACCACCACCATCACCACCATCACCACCACCACCATCACCACCACCATCACCACCACCACCATCACCACCACCATCACCACCACCATCATCATCACCACCATCACCACCATCATCACCACCACCACCATCACCACCACCATCACCACCATCACCATCACCACCACCACCACCATCACCACCACCATCACCATCACCACCATCACCATCACCACCATCACCACCATCACCACCATCACCATCACCACCATCACCACCATCACCACCATCATCATCACCATCACCACCACCACCACCATCACCACCACCATCACCATCACCCACCATCACCATCACCACCATCACCACCATCACCATCACCACCATCACCATCACCACCATCACCACCATCACCACCATCATCATCACCATCACCACCCCCACCACCATCACCACCACACACTGTGGCGGTGACGTCACCACACACCCGCCATTTTGTCTACACTACAACAGTGTTGCTGAATGTCTACCTCTTACAACAACAACCACTACACGAGTTGTTGTTGTTGTGATACTCACAGGGTAGTAGCAGTAGCAGCAGTGATATACAAGTAGTTGTTGTTGTTGTGGTGGTAGTTGTTGATGGGAGATTGTCAGAGCGCCTCTCGTCACCACGGTGACGTCACGCGCTGATGCCCCGCCCCCTTCAGGCGCGAGCCGCTTCTCTGATTGGCTGCCGGCGTTGCCGCGTCACCCCGCAGCCCTCTTCTCATTGGTGGATTGAAAACTCATCACGGAAGAAGTCTTCCCGTTACAGAAGATGTCTTCCTCTTCCAGAAGATGTCTTCCCGTTACAGAAGATGCCTTCCCGTTACAGCAGGCGCCGTGGGTTGACTGCTGTGCCAGGCTAGGTGCAGGTCACGGGACAGACCCTGCAGGTGCCATGGGTTGACTGCTGTGCTAAGCTAGGTGCATGGGTCTGTGTGGTGGGTCTATGGATCTCTGTGTAGTGAGTCTATGGGTCTCTGTGTGAGTATATGGGATTCTGTATGATGAGTCTATGGGTCTCTGTGTGGTGAGTCTATGGATCTCTGTGTGGTGAGTCTATGGATCTCTGTCATGAGTCTATGGGTCTGTGTGAAGTCTTGGGTCTCTGTGAGTATATGGGATTCTGTATGAGTCTATGGGTCTCTGTGTGAGCATATGTGACTCTGTATGATGAGTCTATGAGTCTCTGTGGTGATCCTATGCATTTCTGTGATGAGTCTATGGGTCTGTGTGGTGAGTCTGTGGGTCTCTGTGTGGTGAGTCTGTGGGTTTCTGTGTGGTGAGTCTATGGGTCTCTGTGTAGTGAGTCTATGGGTCTCTGTATGATGAGTCTGTGGGTCTCTGTGTGGTGAGTCTATGAATCTGTGTGATGAGTCTATGGGTCTCTGTGTGATGAGTCTGTGGGCCTCTGTGTGATGAGTCTGTGGGTCTCTGTGTGGTATGTGGGTCTCTGTGTGATGAGTCTGTGGGTCTCTGTGTGGTGAGTCTGTGAGTCTCTGTGTGGTGAGTCTGTGGGTCTCTGTGTGGTGAGTCTGTGGGTCTCTGTGTGATGAGTTTGTGGGTCTGTGTGGTGAGTCTGTGAGTCTCTGTGTGGTGAGTCTGTGGGTCTCTGTGTGGTGAGTCTGTGGGTCTCTGTGTGATGAGTTTGTGGGTCTGTGTGGTGAGTCTGTGGGTCTCTGTGTGATGAGTCTGTGGGTCTCTGTGTGATGAGTCTGTGGGTCTGTGTGATGAGTCTGTGGGTGTCTGTGTGGTGAGTCTATGGGTCTCTGTGTGGTGAGTCTATGAGTCTCTGTGTGGTGAGTCTGTGGGTCTCTGTGTGGTGAGTCTGTGGGTCTTTGTGTGATGAGTCTGTGGGTCTCTGTGTGGTGAGTCTGTGGGTCTCTGTGTGGTGAGTCTGTGGGTCTCTGTGTGATGAGTCTATGGGTCTCTGTGTGGTGAGTCTGTGGGTCTGTGTGATGAGTCTGTGGGTCTCTGTGTGATGAGTCTATGGGTCTCTGTGTGATGAGTCTGTGGGTCTCTGTGTGGTGAGTCTGTGGGTCTCTGTGTGGTGAGTCTGTGGGTCTCTGTGTGATGAGTCTATGGGTCTCTGTGTGGTGAGTCTGTGGGTCTGTGTGATGAGTCTGTGGGTCTCTGTGTGGTGAGTCTGTGGGTCTCTGTGTGGTGAGTCTGTGGGTCTCTGTGTGGTGAGTCTGTGGGTCTTGAACGGATTGTTCTCTCGCTTACCCCTTATGACGTTTCAAAGGTTGTGATTCTCCCAAGATGGCGCTTCACTTCTGCCGGATTTTGAGAGCGGACAGCGCTTGGTCCGAGTTCTTGTTTGCATTCAATAAAAGTCCACAAAGTGGTCGGGAAAACTACGGCGGAGTATCTCTTCGTGTTCAGCGTTGCGTGGCGTTTTTTTTACGTTTGAAATGAAGGTTTAGTGCGTGGTGTCCCGTCATGGCACCTTCTTGTCGGTGTCAAAGTGTACATCAGCCGCACCTAGTTTACACAACAAAGGCTCATTCCTAACAGCGTGGTGCTTCAGCCGCACCGAACCTCACAACAATAATATTCAGGGCCTACCTTGGCTCCTCCCACCCTCAACCAGTATATATACAAGGACTGTGTTCTTGGAATTTCTCTCACTTGATACAGCTGTCGTGCTGTGACGGTTCCACCTGAAGACGGAAGCGATTTTAATTTTATTTTACCAATTAAAATGTTTTACCTACCTGGTGACTTTACCGAAAAAACCTAAGAATCTGTAACGACGGCTTGGCGCACTTCTCTTGAGACGGCACTTCACTGCAGACGCGGCGACTTGGCATCGGGCAGAGATCCCCGCCGCGGGAGACTCGCGGCTCCCGCGGCGGGGATCTCCCCCTCGTACGGCAGCACGTGGCCCCCCTCGCCCCCCTTCGCAATCGCGCGACAAATCAAATCCGCCATTTTTTTTCTCGCAAAATATAATTGACATTTATTGGCGCCCATTTTATTCCCTCACAAAATGCGTGCGCAGTGACGGGGTTTGCCACCTGTCACTGCGCACATTGCTCACCACGCCCCCCGACAGACCTGTTCCTCCTCACCTGAGGACGGCTGCTTGCATTGTGGCCGAAATTCGTGAGAATTAATTAATGTTTTATTTTGATTATTTTATTACTTCCATTCTACGTGACGACTTTACCGAAAGAACCAAGAAGAACCCGTTGACCGTGGGGGTCATACAATGGCCGAACCCACAAGGGGCACGTTAACTGGGGCAAGGCTCAAGGTGGGGATTCACTGGGAAGCTCCTGGAACCAGCGAGAGAGTTCCAGAGGTGGGTGTGGCCACGCTGGGCGACTACAAGGGAGAGGCAAGTGGGGGTTTGGGGCTGTCGTGGTGGTCTAGGGTCGAGGCTGTCGTCGCTGTCATCACTGCCGTCTCTTCGTCGTCGTCGTCGTCGTCGTCGTCGCACAGCCAGCCAGCTATCGAGTTGCACGTCGCCGGTGTGGCCGTACGGGTGGCAAAGCTCTACGTGGCCCAGCGTGTATGTTTCTCCGTGAGCCTGTCCGGAGCGTGTCGAGAAATCAAGTTAGCCGAGACAACCACGACACCACACGCCGTACAATAACAGCCACGTAGGGCGACACACCCACCTGCACGGCAGGCTTTCGTCTGAATTCACATAGCCAGGCCTGGCCAGCACGCCGGCTCTGGCTAAATGTCCTCACGGAATGCTTTTCCCCGGTCGCCCGAAGGGCCGGTTGATTTCAATTTTCGGTTGACTTGGACCCAGCGGCTTCACATTCAACGTCTCCTGCGTCGTCCTCCTTCCCCAGCTCGTGGCTGGGCAGCCCCAGCCGGGCGCGCAGAACCGCGCCGTGCAGCGCCGCCGCCGCCGCCGCACCCTCCTCCAGCTGCGGCTCGCGGTGCGGAGGGAGGGAGGGAGGGGAATCCGGTGAGCTGCGAAGCTCTTTGCGGCAGGGCGGCGGGGCGGCTCGTCACAAAGTCACGGCGACTAAACAAAACGGAGCGATCCGTCCTCCGTGAGGTGTCACGTGCGACCGGGCTACGGTGCGTTCGTGTGTGTGTGTGTGCGTGTGTGTGTGCGTGTATGTGTGTGTGCGTGTGTGTGTGCGTGTGTGCGTGTGTGTGTGCGTGCGTGTGTGCGTGCGTGTGTGCGTGTGTGCGTGCGTGTGCGTGTGCGTGTGTGTGCGTGTGTGTACGTGTATGTGTGTGCGTATGTGCGCGTGCGTGTACGTGTGTGCGTGCGTGTACGTGTGTGTGTGCGCGTGTGTGCGCGTGTGCGCGTGTGTGTACGTGTGTGCGTGTGTGCGTGCATGTACGTGTGTGCGTGTGCGCGTGTGTGTACGTGTGTGCGTGCATGTACGTGTGTGCGTGTGTGTGCGTGTGCGCGTGTGCGTGCGTGTGTGTGTGCACGTGCGTGTGTGTACGTGTGTGTGTGTGCGTGTGTGCGCGTGCGTGTACGTGTGTGCGTGCGTGTACTTGTGTGCGTGTGTGTGTGCGTGTGTGTGTTTGCGTGTGTGAACATGAGTGTGTAGTCCTGGGCCTCCCCTAGGTCGACTCAGCCTCAAATGAGTACCTGGTGCGGTGTGTAAACATCGCCACTGGGGAGACAAAGGCGGCCGGGCGTGGTGCTGGCCACCCACCCCCTTGTGTGCCGTTCCGGCCTTCATAGGTGCTCGCTAACAGCACTACAGTCTGTTAAGGCTACACGGGGGTTCTTTGTCAACGCTGGCCGAATGACTCACGAGCGGACGGCCTCGGGAACGAATTGTGTCCGTGGTGCAACAGAAACATCGGGACGAGGTCGTACCTTCATCCAGATCAGTCCAACTCCAAGCTCCGAGTGCGTGTCCCACTTGACGGAGAAGCAATCCCGGACGTGTCCGTAGCACTTGATGTCCGCCAGGTTGATGGTCACCGCCGTGGCGTCTGCTGCCACACAAGGAAGCGGCACTCTGCACATCGCCCACAGACCCCCCCCCCACAACCTGCAGCCTGCACCCCCCTCTGCGGGTCTCCGCGGGTCTCCGCGGGTCTCTGCGGGTCTCTGCGGGTCTCTGTGGGTCTATGGGGGTCTATGGGACTCTGTGGGTCTCTGTGGGTCTCTGTGGGTCGATGGGACTCTGTGGGCCGCCGCCGCCACCGCCGCCACCGCCGCCACCCAGAGGTCGCAACCGGGTACCCGATACCCGTACCCTACCCGATACCCGGCTACCCGTACCGGCCGGGTACAGGTACCCGTTTGCGACCCTGGTGCGGCCGGGTACGGGTACGGGGAGGCCGTGAGTCACTGGTGAGTAGCCGTTTGTCACTCATTTCCCAACGTCTTGTCTCTTCTCACAATTCAAGTTCATAGAATCAACCCACCCGCGCCTGCAACATGGCTTCATCCCAGAGGTCGCAATTGGGTACCCGATACCCGTACCCTACCCGATACCCGGCCGGGCAATCGGGTAGGGTACGGCTACGGCCGTGAGTCACTGGTGAGTCACCGTTTGTCACTCATTTAGCGTAGGCTACGGGTAGGGAATCAAAACCCGCTTGCGACCTCTGCCGCCGCCGCCACCTGCCTGCGAGTGGCCCCGTCGCGGGGCTCGCGAAGCGCAGGCTCCTCGCGTGGACGTAGACGCGGCAGGGCCCCGCACGCAGCACCTCCGCCCCGCCGCGGCTCCACAGCCGCCCTTCCCACGCGGCCAGCGGCGGCCCGGCCCCGCCGCCCGCCGCCGGCGGGAGGTGAGCCCGCAGGGCCCCCAGCCAGGCCCGTCTCTGGGCCTCGTCGTCGGCGGCCAGGGCGAGGTACCCCGCGTCGGCGAAGACCGCCAGGCCGTATGGGGCCCGCGCGTCCGAGCGCTCCACCGCCGCCCCTAGCCCGCCGAGGGACAGGACGCGGGGCGGCGGGCGGAGGAGCAGGCGGGCGAGGCGGGCCGGGCGGGTCGGGGTGGGGGAGCGGGAGGAGGCGGGGGGTGGAGGCGCCCCGCCCCCCCAGGCCAGGCAGCTCTCCCGGGGGCTGCGGTAGCGCTGGAGGAGGGGGGGGGGTCCCGTCGCCCCCACGCAGCACGAAGAAGCGGCGGTGGCCACTTGGCCGCTTGGTGAGGAAGCCGCTGAACAGCACGGAGCTCCAGCGGAGCCACGGAGCTCCAGCCGGCGGTGGCGGTGGTAGTGACAGTGGTGGTGATAGTGGTGGTGATAGTGGTGGTGATAGTGGTGGTGATAGTGGTGGTGGTGATGGTGTTAGTGGTGGTGATGGTGACAGTGGTGGTGGTCGTGGTGGTGATAGTGGTGATAGTGGTGATGGTGTTAGTGGTGGTGATGGAGGTGATGGTGGCGGTGGTGGTGATGGTGACAGTGGTGGTAGTCGTGGTGGTGTGGGCGATGGTGGTGGTGACGGTGGTGTTAGTGGTGGTGGTGTTAGTGGTGGTGATGGTGACAGTGGTGGTGGTAGTGGTGGTGTGGGCGATGGCGGTGGTGATGGTGGTAGTGGTGGTGATGGCGATAGTGGTCGTGGTTGTGGTGGTGTTAGTGTGGGTGATGGCGGTGGTGATTGTGGTAATGGTGGTGATAGTGTGGTTGATGACAGTGTTGATGGTGATAGTGGTGGTAAAGGTGGTGGTGATGGTGGTGATAGTGTGGGTGATGGCGGTGTTGATGATGGTGATTGCAGTGATGGATGTACGTTGCAACCACTTTCGCATTCTATAGTGCCCACCATGACCAGCGGAGGTGCATGGGGTGGTGATGTAGTGACGCTGGTTATTTTGCTCAAGTGGTGATGGTGGTAATGATGATGGTGATGGTGGTGACGGTGGTGTGGTGACGACGGTGTGGTGATGGTGGCCGTTTTGGTATCGGTGTGGTAATGGCGTAGAGAGATCGCGACGGTGCGATGATTGTGAGTGTGCTGATGGTGGTATGGAGATGGTGGCGTGGTGATGGTGACGGTGGCGTGGTGATGGTGATGCGGTAATGGTGATGACGGTGTAATGATGGTGTGGTGATGGTGGTGATGGTGGTGGTGATAGTGGTGATGGTGGTGGAGTGCTGGTAGTAGCGACATTGCGTGAGTGTGTGTGAGTTTACGTGTGTGGGTGGGTATGTGTAAGTGTGTGTGTGTGAGTGTGTGTGCGAGTGTGGGTGGGTGTGAGTGCGTGTGAGTGTGTGCGTGGGTGTGTGTGGGTGTGTGTGAGTGTGTGTGAGTTTGCGTGTGTGGGTGGGTATGTGTGAGTGCGTGTGAGTGTGTATGCGTGAGTGTGCGTGTGTGAGTGCGTGTGTGAGTGTTTGTGAGTGTGTGTGAGTGTGTGGGTGTGTGTGGGTGAGTGCGTGTGAGTATGTGTGTGGGTGTGTGTGTCAGTGTGTGTGTGTCAATGTGTGTGTGTCAACGTGTGTGTGTCAATGTGTTTGTGTCAATGTGTGTGTGTCAATGTGTGTGTGTGTCAATGTGTGTGTGTCAATGTGTGTGTGTCAGTGTGTGTGTGTCAATGTGTGTGTGTCAATGTGTTTGTGTCAGTGTGTGTGTGTCAGTGTGCGTGTGTCAGTGTGTGTGTGTCAGTGTGTGTGTGTCAGTGTGTGTTTGTCAGTGTGTGTGTGTCAATGTGTGTGTGTGTGTCAGTGTGTGTTTGTCAGTGTGTGTGTGTGTCAATGTGTGTGTGTCAATGTGTGTGTGTCAGTGTGTGTGTGTCAGTGTGTGTGTGTGTCAATGTGTGTGTGTCAGTGTGTGTGTGTCAGTGTGTGTCAGTGTGTGTGTGTGTCAATGTGTGTGTGTCAATGTGTGTGTGTCAGTGTGTGTGTCAGTATGTGTGTGTCAATGTGTGTGTGTCAGTGTGTGTGTGTCAATGTGTGTGTGTCAATGTGTGTGCGTGTGTGTCAGTGTGTGTTTGTCAGTGTGTGTGTGTCAATGTGTGTGTGTCAATGTGTGTTTGTCAGTGTGTGTGTGTCAATGTGTGTGTGTCAATGTGTGTGTGTGTGTCAGTCACCACGATGCTTGGCCTGGCACAAGCATCGTGGTGACGTCACCGCCACTTAGTGGCGAATGGCGGTTGTTGTTGTTGTTGTTGTTGTGTGTCAGTGTGTGTTTGTCAGTGTGTGTGTGTCAATGTGTGTGTGTCAATGTGTGTGTGTGTCAATGTGTGTGTTGTTGCCTCTTCCACTCCTGAATTGTCCTGCACACCAGACGATGTAGTTAACATCCTGGGGAGAGAGACTCCAAACTCCTAACACAGCAGCGTCGTCAGGGTCGGGATCGAACCACCACCAGCACAACAACAACCACCACCACCACCACTACAACCACCACTACAACCACCACCACAACAACCACTACTACAACAACCACCACTACAACCACAACAACCACCGCTACAACAACCACCACAACAACCACCACCACCGCAACCACTACAACCACCACCACTACCACCACAACAACCAGCACTACCACCATCACCACCACAACAACCACCACTACAACCACCACTACAACCACCACCACAACAACCATCACTACCACCACCATCACCACCACAACAACCACCAGAACAACCACCACCACAACCACCACAACAACCACCACTGCAACCACCACTACAACCACCACAACAACCACCACCACAACCACCACAACAACCACCACCACAACAACCACCACTACAACTACCACTACAACTACCACCACAACCACCACAACCACCACCACTACAACCACCACTACAACCACCACAACAACCACCACAACAACCACCACTACAACCACCACCACAACCACCACAACCACCACCACCACCACTACAACCACCACAACAACCACTACAACCACCACCACAACCACCACAACAACCACCACCACTACAACCACCACCACTACAACCACCACAACAACCGCCACCACAACAACCACCACAACAACCACCACCACAACAACCACCACAACCACAACCACCACCTTAACAACAACCACCTTACCACAACAACTACCTTACCACAACCACCTTACCACAACAACCACAACAACCACCACAACCACAACAACCACCACAACAACAACCACCACCACCACAACAACCACCACCACCACAACAACAACCACCACCACAACAACCACCACCACAACAACAACCACCACAACAACCACCACCACAACAACCACCGCCACAACAACCACCACCACAACAACCACCACCACAACAACCACCACCACAACAACCACCACCACAACAACCACCACCACAACAACAACCACCACAACAACCACCGCCACAACAACCACCACCACTACAACCACCACAACAACAACTACAACAACCACCACAACAACCACCACAACAACAACAACCTCCAACCTGGGTGCCGCCATCTTGAACTTGGCGATGGTCTCCGGGTGATGACGTCACCGGGAATCGTTTGTTCGATTCTCATCGATTCTAATCGTTGGTTTGCGCGTCTCTCTCTGCTAATCGATTCCCATCGATTATAATCATCGTTTTGCGTGTCTCCCTCTCTCTGATGATCGATTATCATCGATTAAATTACCCGTTCCGTTGGCTACTTGTGGCTATGAGATGTTGACCACCTCGCCTGGTCTACAGGAGGTCGTGGGTTCGATCTCTCTCTCATCATCACCACGGTGGCTATGAGATGTTGACTACCTCGCCTGGGATACAGGAGGTCGTGGGTTCGATTTGAGGCTGAGTCGACCTAGGGGAGGCCCAGAGCCAGTTCAGATAATCGTCACCGGTGTTGGCCGTGAGCGGGAATCGAACCCGGGTCGCTAGGGTCGTAGCGCAGCGCTAACCGCTACACTACCGCTCCCCACAATAAAGACACACGCACACACACACAGACACACACGCACACACACACGTGCACACACAGACACACACACGTACACACACATACGCACACACACACGCGCGCACACAGACACACACACACAGAGACACACACAGACACAGACACACACACGTACACACACGCACGCACACACACACGTACAACAACAACAACAACCGCCATTCGCCACTAAGTGGCGGTGACGTCACCACGATGCTTGTGCCAGGCCAAGTGCACCTTGAGGCCACGTGAAGTGTCGAAAGCCCGCTGGCAGGAGGTCACGGGGCAGACCCAGCAGGTGCCACGGGTCGACTGACCGAGATGACCGAGATGACTGGCTGATGCACCACCTGTGCCCCCTACTGTGCCAACTTGCTGTGCTTTAGCTACCCGGCGCTCTGTTCGTTGTTGTGAGCGTCGCTCCTCCGCCCTCCGTTGTTGTTGGAGAGCGACTGCCTCCAACTGCCCAGTAGCGTCCTTCACGAGCCTCCTCCACTGAGGCCGATCTTGACACCGCTGGTACCAGTCATCGGCAAGTCCACTCAGCTCCACGTCCTCCTGTACCACATCACTACATCTCTTTTCCAGCCCGTGCCGCGCCCGTCTAGCCCCCTCGATCCGGCCGAACAAAAGCTGTTTAGGCATGCGGTGGCTGGGCATGCGGGCTACATGACCCAGCCAACGCAGCCTTGCCTGCCGGAGGAGCTCACTGATGGGACTTTGCACACACACAGACACACACACGCGCACACAGACACACACACAGACACACACAGACACACACACAGACACACACACAGAGACACACACAGACAACAACAACAACCGCCATTCGCCACTAGGTGGCGGTGACGTCACCACGATGCTTGTGCCAGGCCAAGTGCACCTTGAGGCCACGTGAAGTGTCGAAAGCCCGCTGGCAGGAGGTCACGGGGCAGACCCAGGTGCCACTGGTCGACTGACCGAGATGACCGAGATGACTGGCTGATGCACCACCTGTGCCCCCTACTGTGCCAACTTGCTGTGCTTTAGCCACCCGGCGCTCCGCTCGTTGTTGTGAGCGTCGCTCCTCCGCCCTCCGTTGTTGTTGGAGGGCGACTGCCTCCAACTGCCCAGTAGCGTCCTTCACGAGCCTCCTCCACTGAGGCCGATCTTGACACCGCTGGTACCAGTCATCGGCAAGTCCACTCAGCTCCACGTCCTCCTGTACCACATCACTCCATCTCTTCTCCAGCCCGTGCCGCGCCCGTCTAGCCCCCTCGATCCGGCCGAACAAAAGCTGTTTAGGCATGCGGTGGCTGGGCATGCGGGCTACATGACCCAGCCAACGCAGCCTTGCCTGCCGGAGGAGCTCACTGATGGGACTTTGCCCAGATCTTTCAAGGATTTGTGAGCTCCTCACACAATCCAGCCTGGTTAAACCCAGGATGGATCGTAGGCAGGCCAGCCTCAATGTTTCTAACTGGCGAAGATGCTCCACCAGGGGGGTCCACGTCTCGCAAGCGTAGAGAAGGGAGGGAATGACCGTGGCCGAGAAGACCTGAAGCTTCGTGCGGAGCGACCGACCATGTAGCTTCCACACAGCGTTACGCAACCAATGTAAAGATATTGCCGCTCGACTGATTCGGAGTGAGACCTCTGCTGATAAACCGGAGCCGGTCATGAGCACACTGCCCAGATATGGGAAACTCTGCAGTCTCTCCACAACTGCCCTATCACCGATTGTGAGTTGTGGGGGTGGAGTGTCCGATGGTACAAAATACCCTGGCATGTGCTTAGTTTTGGTGGTTGCCTGCCAGCAACGGGGAGTGCTTGTGAACTGAGCAAAGTAAATAAAAGGACCGATTCCACAAGCCGTCTCCCGAGTGTTGTTACACAAGGTGGGAGTCCCAGGGTCTCGCTAGCCGGTCCTCAGTCTTCTACTGGCTCTTCTGGCCTAAGCTCGTGGCCACAACTGACTCCCTTGGCTCCTGCCTTTCATACATCTCCCACCCGAGGGGCGGGGTCCCGTGGGATCCCAGGACACCCGTTGGGAGGGGTGCGGGGGATTAAGACGCCCCACAGCTCCCTGCAGGTAAGTGGTGGGTGCTAGCCGGGGTGTGCATTCCTTACATAACACCATTACATGCTGCTTTGATTTAAAGCTTTCGTGACTGCAGGGAAATTTTTTATTGTTTTATATTAATATAATATTTTGTTTATATATATTATTTTCCTTCTACGTGACTTTATTATTTATATTATTTTATTATTTCCCTTCTACGAAACTTTATTATTTTTATTATTTTATTACTTCCCTTCTACGTGACTTTATTATTTCTATTATTTTATTATTTCCCTTTTACGTGACTTTACTATTTATATTATTTTATTATTTCCCTTCTACGTGACTTTACCGAAAGAACCAAGAATATATATATACCATTACATGCTGTATAAAAGGCTAAGTTGTGAGTATGTGTGTCTGTTCAAAATGTTTAGCGTACTTCCCGAAATGCAACAGACTTGAAATTTGCCATGCGGGTACTTTGCAGACTGTACACCATGCACACTTTATAAAGATACACTTTTGTGTTTTTTTTTGCACAGCAAGTGAGCTGTGACGTCACATACCTGTCATGTCACCCAAATGCGTGGCTGGGGAGGGGAGATAAAAGAAATAATAAACTCGGCTACAAACTTTAAACTTGCCACGTGTCTAGCTCCCATACTGTACACAAAGTCAAACGTTTAAAATTAAACTTTTGTATTTTGGGGGGTGACCACGAGGTGTGTGACGTCACCCGCATACAGGAAATGGCGAGAATCGATATCTGATGAGCGTTTGTGGTATCGATTCAACGGGAATAGGCCGATTCTAAAGGAATCTACGACCTTCGATTCCTTCGCACGATTTAAAGAATCGAATCTTGGCGCGCGCGCGTGCGTAAGTTTAAAGTTTCACGCAGCGCTCGTTGGGGTTTTATTTTTAATTAGCGAGGTAATGAACAAAGTTTTCTTTTCATTTGTATATGTTGTGTTTTTAAGTTTTAAGAAGTTTATAAATAGATTTTTTCCCCCTGTAGGAGGTAGCTGTCTCTACCTGACTGGTGACATTCAATGCGTGTCGTGGTGATGATGCCGGTCGGCTACCGAGCTCAGCAGAGTGACAACCCCAGTCGGAGTTCATCACGATCACGGTGGCGAGGAGATGTTCACTCCCTCGCCTGGTGGACTAGTGGTCGTGGGCTCGATCCCGTGTACAAAGCGAGGGAGTGAACATCTCCCAGCCACCGTGATGATGAGCGTGAGACTTGAAAACTAGAAATATACAGCAGCAGCAGGCATCGTCAGGGCTGAGATCGAAGCCACGACCCCCTGTGTACCAGGCGAGGTAGTCAACATCTCATAGCCACCGTGACGATGATGAGAGAGAGAGACTCAAACTCCAATATATGGCAGCAGGTATCGTCAGGGTCGGGATCAAACCCACGACCTCCTGCATACCAGGCGAGGTAGTCAACATCTCATAGCCACCGTGACGATGATGAGAGAGAGAGACGCAAACTCCAAATATACAGCAGCAGGCATCGTCAGGGTCGGGATCAAACCCACGACCTCCTGCATACCAGGCGAGGTAGTCAACATCTCATAGCCACCGTGACGATGATGAGAGAGAGAGACTCAAACTCCAATATATGGCAGCAGGTATCGTCAGGGTCGGGATCAAACCCACGACCTCCTGCATACCAGGCGAGGTAGTCAACATCTCATAGCCACCGTGACGATGATGAGAGAGACGCAAACTCCAAATATACAGCAGCAGGCATCGTCAGGGTCGGGATCAAACCCACGACCTCCTGCATACCAGGCGAGGTAGTCAACATCTCATAGCCACCGTGACGATGAGAGAGAGAGACGCAAACTCCAAATATATGGCAGCAGGTATCATCAGGGTCGGGATCAAACCCACGACCTGCATACCAGGCGAGGGAGTTAACATCGTTTCCACCGGTTCACTTCTGCACAGCGCCGATGGCCATGAGGATGAGGAGGAGCTGTTCCTGGCCGGGTCTCTGCGCCTGTCGAGGCTTCGTCTTCGCACAGCTGTGGGCAGTCTCGGCCGCTTCCTGGTGGTAACCGCTGGCCGCTGTCTTCCTCCTCACGGCTGCGATGAGCGCAAGTTTCTAAGTTCATTGGTTTCTGAGCGGCCTCCTGACCGTCTTGTATTTTACACACCCCGTACAGTCGTTCAACACCTAGTAGCGGCAGGGCTTTCGCGACCAATGTCATCCACAATAGAGACGTTTTTGGTGTTAGATCGCGTAAATATATAAATGTTCTTTGGTTCTTTCGGTAAAGTCGCGTAGGTAGAAATAAAATAAACTGAAACAAATCACGACGTTTCGATCGCAACACAAGCGAACTTCGTCGGGGGGGGGGGGGGTGACAACCAGAGCGAGACAATGCTGAAGTCGGCGGGAGAGCTGCCGTGGCAAGAGGTTATATAGTAGTGTAATGTGAGGATGTATCCGGCTCACTGACGTATCACAACTCGTCACGGTGATTGGCTCTGCCGGTCCTGGTTTACAGCCAATGGGGGGAAGCCTGGGGCCATGGCCCTGACGTGATGGAAAGGTGACAGCTGCAAGTAGATGATTGGTTCTGCTGGCTTTGGCCTCAGCCAATGGGGAGACGAGTCAGGGGCGTGGCCCTGACGTGATGGAAAGGTGACAGCTGCAAGTAGATGATTGGCCCTGCTGGCTTTGGCCACAGCCAATGGGGAGACGAGTCAGGGGCGTGGTCCCGGGAGCCTACGAGGGAGCCTGGAATATTCCACGGAGGCTAACCAGGATTGGTGGAAACGTACCACGTGACCCGAGTATTAAATAGGGGGGGAGAGGAACGGCACGTGGTCAGAACGGGAACGAACGGAGGAAGGGGGCCACGCGGGAGCGGGGCTCCGGGTTGCCACGTGGTCCAGGCTGCCACGTGGTCCAGGCTGCCACGTGGTCCAGGCTGCCACGTGGCAGTGCGTCTCTCTGTCCCTCTCACGCTGCCTGTCAGCAGTGTGAAGGGAAGCTGTAATGCAAGTTGAATAAAAGACGGATTCTAGAAGTCGCCTCAACGACTTTTATTACATAGGTAAGAGAGGGGGGAGGAGGAAAGGGGGGAGAGAGATAGGGGGGGTGGTAGGGTGAGGGGGGGGGGGCGCGTGAGTGCTAGGGAAAGAGGACGTGAGGCTGTGGGGGGGGGGTGTGGGCGGGGCTGGCAGTAAACCGGCAGGTACGATGGAAACAACAACAAGTGAAGGCATTACCTGGTTGATAACATCCTTGCAATGATTGTTCAATTTGTATCCATCTTCTCGGTTTAAGTTTTGTCTATGTTTATATATCTGGATGGCTTCATGCACAAACCTTTCATAGTAGCCCGAAGGTTTGCAGAGTAGCTTGGTCTCGGAAAAAACAATATCACGCGAGCCCACGGCGTTATAGCAATGGTCAGCTACGGCAGAGGTATTGGTTCTGCCGTGTTTCAGATCTGCCTTGTGTTCGCGAACACGGTCCGAGACATGACGTTTTGTTTCCCCAATGTAACTGCTACCGCAGGGCATTGCATGTCAAGAATGACCTCCTTCACAGATGGGATTAGATCACGTATTTTGGTATTTTGACCTGCATACCAGGCGAGGTAGTCAACATCCCCTGGCCACCGTGACTCCCCCCCACCCCCCCGTCCCTTGCAGGTTGCTGCCCCTGTGGACCCCGCTCTTCGACCGCTCCGACTCTCCGCTGCTGTGCACCGCGGCGCCGGGTCTCTCCCCCGGACAGCGCAGCCTGTGCCGGCGGCACTCGAACCACGCAGAGGAGGTGGCCAATGGCGTCCAGCTGGCGCTCGACGAGTGTCGGCACCAGCTGCAGGCCTGGCGGTGGAACTGCACCACGCCCGGCGCCGAGGACACTCTGGGCCCCGTGGCTCAATCTGGTAAGGGGATCGTCAGGCCGGGTCGGAGCGAGCGTCGGAGCCTCTGCCGGCAACATAAAGGTTTAAAATAGCATGGGCGGGGCAGCTGATGTCAGTGATGGTGGTAGTCGTGGGCAACGACGGCGCTGGTGGTGGGTTTCCACCAATCGGAGGGCTGCCTCGCTTTACTCGCCACCATCCGACACGGCCACTTAGCGAGGTCTAGTGTCGTGTAAGCAGAACGTGGCCAATCCCCTTGTTTCAGACTGAAGTAGAATGTCTCCACAATGCTGGCTGTCGCCCAGAGGTCACAAACGGATATCGGGTACCCGGTTGCGACCTCTGCTGTCACCTGATGACGCTAGTTGTTGTTGTTGTTGTTGTGGTGGTTGTTGTGGTTGTTGTTTTCCCAGCGAAACATCACAATACTCGAATTGTAAATGTTGCAGTGAGTTTACTCTTCAACACACAGCAACCGGTCAGTGCTGTACTAGTGCAATGAGACAAAAACGTGCAGAGTGCTTCTTATTCATTTCTCACACTTGGGCACAAACACTGGGCGATATATATAGACACGTTTCTACGTGGCTACACACAGCCGACCTTTCTAGACAGCCCCATCGTCGGCGTCTAGCTACACGTAGCGATGACGACGACGACGATGACGATTGGAGCTGTGCAGAGGATCGGCCAGGATCCCGCGACAGCTCCGAACCTTCGGTTACGTCCCCCCTACCACACACTTCCCGGCGTGGCTAGGCCCCGACTCCGGCCATGCCCCCTTCTAGAACCTTCTAGCAAGTTCCCGGAGCTTCCCTACTGACCCCGCCTGTTACCTTGAACCCGTGGTTGGTTATTATATTACGCGCCCATACTCGTGATTACCCGTCCTGGCCCACAGGTGGCGCCCTGTCGTCGCACTCGTAACGAATTCGCCACGTTCTGTTTTTCGTGCCAAATCCTTAACCTATGGGATGCGTCGGCGGGAGTGGCGGTTCTAATGACGTGACGTTTCTATTTCGGCAACGGTCTACACTAGAAAATAGACAGTCGATCAAATTGTTTTGTCGGCGGGGCTGATTTGGCTCTTCGGGGTGGTCGGTGTGGGGGGGGCTCCAGGCTCGCGCGAGGCCGCCTTCGTCTCCGCCCTGATCGCCGCCGGAGTTGTCCACGCGGTGGCGCGCGCCTGCCGCCAGGGGGCGCTGCCGGGCAGCTGCGACTGCGTCGATGCGGCAGCGGCAAGTCTGCCGCGTGGCGCCCAGCCGGGCTGCGGGGACGACGTCAAATACGGATACCGGTTCGCCAGGAAGTTTGTGGACGAGAGCGAGCACGATCGCAGGCGGCATGGAGGAGGAGGGGAGTCTCGGCTGGAGCTCGTCCAGATGAATTTGCACAATAATAAGGCCGGCCGGCTGGTGAGTCGGCAAATGGGTAGATGTGTAGACGAAAATTTAAAAATTAACCCGTAAAAACAACGTTTTTCACTATAAATCCTTTATATGTGTGGCGGCTAGAGTCCTCTCGTCCTCTGGCTTGAGATGGCTGCCACCTATGGGTCAGATGATTGTCTGCCAGTATTAAGCAATTGGTAATTAAATATTTAATTTGTTTTCCCTAAACAGTGTAAAATTTTGGAAAAAAAAATTCACGAACATTAATTGTCTCGCACAACGAGTCTGTGTGCAAAATGTCAGCTCGATTGGATCACGGGAAGTGGGTTAAAAAACGACCGAAAGATTTGCACGGTCGTAAGCAAGCAAGCAAGCATGCAAGCGAACTTAATATAAAGGATTTAAAAATCGCCCTGTTGGGCACGCTGAGGAGAGGCTTGCGCAGACCCAATGTGGTTTTAGGCCAGGGTGGCCCCGTCTGCTACAGCAGAGGTGTAGGGAATTCCAACAAGACCTACATCTCTGCTTTATTGACCTGGTCAAGGCCTATGATACCATCAGTAGGTCTGGGTTGTGGGTTTTTATTTGTGCTTTCAGTGTCCTTGACTCATGATGGTGAGCGGGCCTGGGAAAAGCTGCGTGGCGATGTTCTCTGGCTCCCACATAACTTAAAAAATTATTTTTGACCATGTAGTTCGTGAAGCCTTCCATGGCTGTAACGGGAGAATTTCCATCGGGTAGAGTGGGAGGGTGATCGACGCCCGGGTGCGGTCAAGGGATGGCTCCCTATTGCTCAACCACGTTATGTATGCCGATGATCTGGTGATTGCTGCTCACTCGGAGGAGGAGATGGAGACGCTGCTGCTGAGACTGGAGCGTGCCACTAAGAGGTGGGGCCTTACCATCAGCCCCACCAAAACTAAGCACCTGCCTGGGTAGTTTGTACCATTGGACACTCCACCCCCACAACTCCCAATTGGTGATAGGGTAGTTGTGGAGAGAGTGGAGAGTTTCCCATACTTGGGCAGTGGTACATTGGCCAGTCATCTCCGTCAGTCGACCCATGACACCTGGGTCTGTCCCATGACCTCCTGCCAACGGGCATTCGACACTTCACGTGGGCTTAATGTGCACATGGCTTGGCACAGGCGCCGTGGTGACATCACCGCCACTTATTGGCGAATGGCGTTTGGTAGTGATGATTGTGGTGGTGACGATGATGATGGTGGTGGTGGTGCTACAGGCTGTGTACAATCTGGCGTACACGCAGTGCAAGTGCCACGGGTTGACTGGCGCCTGCACGCTCAAGATCTGCTGGCCACAGCTCGCAGACTTTCGCAAAGTTGGAAACTTTCTCAAGGTGAGCTCACGACTGCATGGGACTGCACCCTGAGGAGGGGTGAGGGTGGGTGTGGGGTGAGTGTGGGTGGGTGAGTGTGGGTGGGGTGAGGTGGGTGAGTGTGGGGTGAGTGTGGGTGGGTGAGTGTGGGTGGGGTGGGTGAGTGTGGGGTGAGTGTGGGTGGGGTGAGGTGGGTGGGGTGAGTGTGGGTGGGGTGACTGTGATGTGTGGGTGGGGTGAGTGTGGGTGGGGTGAGTGTGGGTGGGGTGAGTGTGGGTGGGGTGAGTGTGGGCGGGGTGAGTGTGATGTGTGGGTGGGGTGAGTGTGGGTGGGGTGAGTGTGATGTGTGGGTGGGGTGAGTGTGGGTGGGGTGAGTGTGATGTGTGGGTGGGGTGAGTGTGGGTGGGGTGAGTGTGATGTGTGGGTGGGGTGAGTGTGGGTGGGGTGAGTGTGGGTGGGTGGGGTGAGTGTGATGTGTGGGTGGGGTGAGTGTGGGTGGGGTGAGGTGGGTGAGTGTGGGGTGAGTGTGGGTGGGGTGAGGTGGGTGGGGTGAGTGGAGGTGAGTGTGCGTGGGGTGAGTGTGGGTGGGTGTGGGGTGAGTGTGGGGTGAGGTGGGTGGGGTGAGTGGAGGGGAGGTGAGTGTGGGTGGGGTGAGGTGGGTGAGTGTGGGGTGAGTGTGGGTGGGGTGAGGTGGGTGGGGTGAGTGTGGGTGGGGTGAGTGTGGGCGAGTGTGGGGTGAGTGTGGGTGGGGTGAGGTGGGTGAGTGTGGGTGGGGTGAGGTGGGTGAGTGTGGGGTGAGTGTGGGTGGGGTGAGGTGGGTGAGTGTGGGGTGAGTGTGGGTGGGGTGAGGTGGGTGAGTGTGGGGTGAGTGTGGGTGGGGTGAGTGTGATGTGTGGGTGGGGTGAGTGTGGGTGGGGTGAGTGTGAGGTGGGGTGAGTGTGGGTGGGGTGAGGTGGGTGAGTGTGGGGTGAGTGTGGGTGGGGTGAGGTGGGTGAGTGTGGGGTGAGTGTGGGTGGGGTGAGGTGGGTGAGTGTGGGGTGAGTGTGGGTGGGGTGAGGTGGGTGAGTGTGGGGTGAGTGTGGGTGGGGTGAGTGTGATGTGTGGGTGGGGTGAGGTGGGTGAGTGTGGGGTGAGTGTGGGTGGGGTGAGGTGGGTGGGGTGAGTGGAGGTGAGTGTGCGTGGGGTGAGTGTGGGTGGGTGTGGGGTGAGTGTGGGGTGAGGTGGGTGGGGTGAGTGGAGGGGAGGTGAGTGTGGGTGGGGTGAGGTGGGTGAGTGTGGGGTGAGTGTGGGTGGGGTGAGGTGGGTGGGGTGAGTGTGGGTGGGGTGAGTGTGGGCGAGTGTGGGGTGAGTGTGGGTGGGGTGAGGTGGGTGAGTGTGGGTGGGGTGAGGTGGGTGAGTGTGGGGTGAGTGTGGGTGGGGTGAGGTGGGTGAGTGTGGGGTGAGTGTGGGTGGGGTGAGGTGGGTGAGTGTGGGGTGAGTGTGGGTGGGGTGAGTGTGATGTGTGGGTGGGGTGAGTGTGGGTGGGGTGAGTGTGAGGTGGGGTGAGTGTGGGTGGGGTGAGGTGGGTGAGTGTGGGGTGAGTGTGGGTGGGGTGAGGTGGGTGAGTGTGGGGTGAGTGTGGGTGGGGTGAGGTGGGTGAGTGTGGGGTGAGTGTGGGTGGGGTGAGGTGGGTGAGTGTGGGGTGAGTGTGGGGGGGGTGAGTGTGATGTGTGGGTGGGGTGAGTGTGGGTGGGGTGAGTGTGAGGTGGGGTGAGTGTGGGTGGGGTGAGTGTGGGGTGAGTGTGAGTGTGGGTGGGGTGAGTGTGAGGTGGGGTGAGTGTGAGGTGGGGTGAGTGTGGGTGGGGTGAGTGTGAGGTGTGGGTGAGTGTGAGGTGGGTGGGGTGAGTGTGGGTGGGGTGAGTTTGGGTGGGGTGAGTGTGAGGTGTGGGTGAGTGTGAGGTGGGTGGGGTGAGTGTGGGTGGGGTGAGTTTGGGTGGGGTGCGTGTGAGGTGTGGGTGAGTGTGAGGTGTGTGGGGTGAGTGTGATGTGTGTGTGGGGTGAGTGTGAGGTGGGTGGGGTGAGTGTGATGTGTGTGTGGGGTGAGTGTGAGGTGGGTGGGGTGAGTGTGATGTGTGTGTGGGGTGAGTGTGAGGTGGGTGGGGTGAGTGTGATGTGTGTGTGGGGTGAGTGCGGGTGGGTGGGGTGAGTGTGATGTGTGAGCTGAGTGTGGGGTGAGTGTGAGGTGCGAGTGATGAGGCTGAATCAATGGGAGGGTTACAGACGTGGGGGGGGGGGGGGGGGAGGTCCCTAGCAGCTCAGGGTGCTGCCCGCATTCACTCAACCTTCACCACCTCCACCACCACCACCACCTCCACCACCACCACCTCCACCTCCACCACCACCACCACCTCCACCACCACCACCATCACCATCACCACCACCTCCACCACCACCATCACCACCTCCATCACCACCACCATCACCACCACCACCACCCCCATCACCACCACCACCACCAGCACCACCACCACCACCACCTCCACCACCACCTCCACCACCACAACCTCCACCACCACCACCACAGCTAAATAAAACACGGCGGATCCTCTTCCTCCTCCTCACCCCCTGACGACGACGGTGACGATGGCGGCTGCAGGAAAAGTACGACGCAAGTTCCGCCGTGCGGCTGGTGACCCACAACTGGATTGCTCGTTCCGGGGGCGGTGGCGGCGGCGGTGCCGGTGCCGTTACCGGTGGCCGCGAAAGCGGCAAAGCGGCCCGCTGGCCGCGCCTGCACCTGGAGCCGGTGGACGAGGCGTTCGTGGCGCCCACTCCGAGCGAGCTGGTGCACGTGCACGGCAGCCCCGACTACTGCGAGCGCGACGATGCCCGCGGCGTTCCCGGCACGGTGGGGCGGCGGTGCGACTTGCGCTCCAACGGCACCGGGGATTGCTCGATCATGTGTTGCGGCAGAGGGTACAACACCGTCCGAGGTGTGACCTCCCCCCCCCCACCGTCGCCGCGACCCGAAAATAAACTCAAACTATTCGTTAAGAATCTTCTTGGTTCTTTCGGTAAAGTCACGTAGAAGGGAAGTAATAAAATAATAAAAATAAAACATAATAAAATTATTCTCACGACGTTTCGGCCACAACGCAAGCAGCCGTCCTCAGGTGAAGACCAGGTCCGTCGAGGCGACAGCGTCTGAATGAAGCAGCACACAGACGCTGTCGCCTCGACAGATGTGTTTTTCACCTGAGGACGGCTGCTTGCGTTGTGGCCGAAACGTCGTGAGAATAATTTTATTATGTTTTATTTTTATTATTTTATTACTTCCCTTCTACGTGACTTTACCAAAAGAACCAAGAAGATGAATCCCTGCAGTCACGAAAGCTTTAAATCGAAATTTATTCATTAAGAAGCTACGAAACTATTTTATGTTTGACCAGGCAAGTTCCGCCGAGCTGCGTAGATCCAGCCACAGACGATAGGTCGACCAAGTGGCTCGTCGCGTAGAAACGCACAGCGTCCAAATACTCTTAAATCGCCTGATTTTCAACGTGGAGGGAGAAGCGGAGGACCCGGAGACAAATCCACGTGACCTACGGGCAGAGAGAGACACGCAAATGCAGCATCAGCTGGCATTGTCAGAGTTGGGATCGAACCCACGACCTCCTGCACAACAAGCGAGGGAGTTAACATCTCCTAGCCACCGTGATGATGATGAGAGAGAGAGAGACGCAGACTCCAAATATACAGCAGCAGCAGGCATCGTCAGGGTCAGTGCAATGTCTCTCATATCCTACAGTACTTAGCTAGGACAAGCGTGCACTACTTGTGCTCGGATAACGACAGACACCCTCTCTTTCCACACTGTCCCTGTACTACTATACACTATCACTCTTGACTTAAAGCTTTCGTGACAGCAGGATTTAATATTCTTTGGGTCTTTCGGTAAAGTCACGTAGATAGGTGAAAAAAAATCACTAAAATAAACCAAACGGTCGCTTGTGTTGCGATCGAAACGTCGTAGTTTTTTGTTACTTTTATTATTTTTTTAGGCCATCTACGTGGCTTTAGCGAAAGACCCCAAGGATACTATTCTTCGCTCCGTTACACTACTATGCTATACAGTACACTATACACTACACTACTATACACTACACTATACACTACACTATACACTACACTATACACTACACTATACACTACACTACACTATACACTACACTATACACTTCACTATACACTACGCTATACACTACACTACACTATACACTACACTATACACTATACTATACACTACACTATACACTACTACACTACACTATACACTACACTATACACTACTATACACTACACTATACACTACACTATACACTACACTATACACTATACTATACACTACACTATACAGTACACCACGCAATGAAATAAAAAATGCATTTCTTTAGAACTGCTTTCTGTGAATCTTAGGTCGCTCTAAGGGATATCTACGGAAGTTGCCAACGTCTACGGAGAGAAGTGCACGGAGACTTTTGTCACCTCGCGACGGCGATTGCAGAATCGCGATAAAAACCTCGTGGGCAAAACGACAATGTCCGACGTTTTGCACTCTCGCCTCTGCTGTGTTCCCCTCCCAGTGACGGTGGAGAAGCGGTGCAGATGCAAGTTCCGGTGGTGCTGCTCCGTCAAGTGCGAGCGGTGCCCGCAGACCGTTGACCAACTCTCTTGCAAGTAGACAAGTAGACTGCAGCCGCAAGCTGCCGGGGTGGCCTCGGCTGGAGATCGACTCCAGTCGGGGTTCAGCCGAGTCCTGCCGGGTTCGGTGATCCGTTCAAAGTTGTTGAGGGTGCCAGCACCACGGCATCCAGCACTACACTATACACTACACTATACACTACACTATACACTACACTATACACTACACTATACACTACTATACACTACACTATACACTGCACTATACACTACACTATACACTACACTATACACTACACTATACACTACACTACACACTACTATACACTACACTATACACTACACTACACACTACACTACACACTACACTATACACTACACTATGCACTACACTATACACTACACTATACACTACACTATACACTACACTACTATACACTACACTATACACTACACTATACACTACTATACACTACACTACTATACACTACACTATACACTACACTATACACTACACTACTATACACTACTATACACTACACTACTATACACTACACTATACACTACTATACACTACACTATACACTACACTATACACTACACTATACACTACACTACTATACACTACACTACATTATACACTACACTACTATACACTACACTACTATACACTACACTATACACTACTCTACACTACTCTACACTACACTACTATACACTACACTACTATACACTATATACACTACACTGCTCTCTATATGTTACATGTTGATATACATGACATCTTGATGTGACGTGAGGCAGACAACGATGCTAGTACCTGCCTCCATTCCCGTTCTGTATCGGCCAAGAGTTTTCGTAGCTGTGAATTAAAAGTGTTTTGCATGTTCCGTCAAACAAAATCCTCAGGTTTCTATCTCATCGTTTTGATATCGCGATGGATTCAAAGTTGACGTCACTCGGGTAACGACGGCGGTCAACTGCACCGGTGCCGCGGTTTGGGTTGGGCTGTAGCAGGATGGAATTAATCCGTGACAGAATGAATGACGCATTCAAGTTCAAGTACTAGGTGTAGCCCTGTGAGCCATTCGGCTCTTGAATCGGGTGCAACCGCAACAAACAAAAAACTAAACATGAACAAAAAACATCTTCAAGTGAATATGTGACTAAGTGCAAACAGAAAATCCAAGAAAAGACAGCAACATATTGCAGAAAAAGCACCGTATACCAACGCTGTGTGCAAAAATCCCAGTGGGATGTAAGTCAAACAACCAACAACAACAACCACAAGACAACTTAGATCAAGGCCATCAGTCTAACTCTGTACTACAACAAACAACAACAACAACAACCACAAAACAACTTAGATCAAGGCCATCAGTCTAACTCTGTACTACAACAAACAACAACAACCACAAGACAACTTAGATCAAGCCCATCAGTCTAACTCTGTACTACAACAAACAAACAAACAACAACAACAACCACAAGACAACTTAGATTAAGGCCATCAGTCTAACTCTGTACTACAACAACACAAACAACAACAACCACAAGACAACTTAGATCAAGGCCATCAGTCAAACTCTGTACTACAACAAACAACCAACAACAACAACCACAAGACAACTTAGATTAAGGCCATCAGTCAAACTCTGTACTACAACAAACAACAACAACAACAACCACAAGACAACTTAGATCAAGGCCATCAGTCTAACTCTGTACTACAACAAACAACAACAACAACCACAAGACAACTTAGATCAAGGCCATCAGTCTAACTCTGTACTACAACAAACAACCAACAACAACAACCACAAGACAACTTAGATCAAGGCCATCAGTCTAACTCGGTTAATGCCGGGGAGGAAGCCAACCGGAGTCAATGGGACGGCCTAATATGGGGGTCTTTGTCGATCCACAAATCTCTTTAGATCGAGAAATCTCGGTGCCATCCACAAATCGTCAGTTTCTCGTTCAGAAATCACGTGGCGGGAGTCACTTTTAACGATAAAACATTTGTATTTCAAATATCACTGCTTGATCCACGCTCCATCGCATAGACCAACACACTCTAAATGCCAGAGCTCAATCACTGCTCGCTCCTGGGCCTCCCCTAGGTCGACTCAGCATCAATCGAGAGCCTGGTGCGGTGTGTAGCAGTGAACATCGCCACGGGAGAGACACAGGCGGCTGGGCGTGGTGCTGGCCACCCCCCCCCTCGTGGGCCTCCACTCGCGAGCAGCTCTTGTCTGTGGGGGGGGAGGTACAGGGGGGTACTGGGGGGGTACAGGGGGGTACGGGGGGGGTACGGGGGGGGTACTGGGGGGGTACAGGGGGGTACCTGGGGGTTACTGGGGGGGGGGTACAGGGGGGGTACGGGGGGGGTACATCACTTACACACACACAGAACTTTGCACGTATAAAGTAATGTGCATAGACATTTTTGATTTAAAGATTTCGTGACTGCAGGGATTCATGTTCTTGCTTCTTTCGGTAAACTCACGTAGAAGGGAGATACACAATACAATATAAAACAATAAAAATTAATTAAATCGCGACTTTTTCGCGGGCAACACACACGGACGGAAGCTTGCGTTGCCTCCGAAACGTCGAGATTTAATTTAAATTTCAAATTTTTTCACCTCCGTGACTTTACCGAAAAAAACACAGAGTATGCGCGTAGACTCTTTGGTTATTTCTATTTTATATTTAATAAAATGTTCAACCACGTGACTTTACCGAAAGAAGCAAAGGATATGGATCCTATCAGTCACGAAAAACTTCAAATCGACTGCTGCACATACAGAACTGTGGCCAGTGTTGAGTCTATGGGCGCTTATCAGCTCTACGGAATTTAGCCTCGCAGCCACGTGGTCGCCTATCCGCGCTACGTTTTCTAAACGCGCCCTGCTAAAGCCACGCGTGTTCCCACCAGCGGACCGTCTCCCGCCCTGGTTGTGGTAGCGAAACGTCGAAACTCCTCCTCCACCACCACCACACGAGTCAATAGCTTCGTGTGTCACCTCCTCGCCACGACGGAGTAGAGAGCTCAAGACCCCCCACCACCCACACAGACGTCTACGGAGCGAACCACGAGGTGAGTGAGTGCAGCCCTAGGCCACATTGCCCCGCCTGGTTGGGCTGGGCTGGCCTGGGCTGGGATTGGGCTGGGTGACATTGCCCGGCCTGGCCTGGTTGGGCTGGGCTGGGATTGGGCTGGGCTACATTGCCCGGCCTGATTGGCCTGGGATTGGGTTGGGATTGGGCTGGGCTGATGCCCCCCACCCCCCACCACCATCCCCTGTGGTCTTTGTGGAACAGTTGAGGGGTCTAAACTGTGTTGGTCAATCCACCCGTGGAATGTAACATTCATGTAAATGTCTAAGTCGAGATCATTTAATCAGAATCTGGGGTCGTGACGGTGACTAGGTGGATGTTAACTCATTCGCCTGGTCTACAGGAGGTCATGAGTTCGATCGCGACCCTGTAGAGATATTGACTACCTCGCCTGGTCTACAGGAGGTCGTGGGTTCCATCATGTCCCTGTAGAGATGTTAACTCCCTCGCCTGGTCTACAGGAGGTCGTGAGTTCGATCCCAACCATGACGCCCCTCTATCAAGTTCAAGTTTATGTATTAGGTGTAGCCCTGTGAGCCATTCGGTTCTTGAATCGGGTGCAACCGCAACAAACAAAAAACAAAAAAATGAACAAGAAAACATCTTAAAGTGAATATGTGACTAAGTGCAAACAGAAAAACTAAGAAAAGACCAAAATATTGCGGAAAAAACACCGTACACCAACCCTGTGTGCAAAAATCCCAGTGGGATGCAAGTCAAACAACAACAACCACAAGACAACTTAGATTAAGGCCATCAGTCTTACTCCGTACTACAACAAACAAACATGGCCAAACGAAAAAAAAAGGGCCGAACAAAAGCTGTTTAGGCACGCAGTGGCTGGGCATGTGGGTTACATGACCCAGCCAACGCAGCCTTGCCTGCCGGAGGAGCTCACCGATAGGACTTTGTCCAGGTCTTTCAAGGATTTGTGAGCTCCACCGGTTAAGATAGATCGTAGACAGGCCAGCCTCAATGTTTAGGCTGGTCTGTCTAGAATTTCCCTTGGGAGATCATCTCTGCCTGGTGCCTTTCCTGGTCGCCTTCAGGACTTCCTCAACTGATGGCCCCTCAGCCACCCACTCACAGCATTTGAGGCACCGCAGCCTCAGCAGGGTCATCCCCACTTTTCAAATCTACAAACCTGTTCATGGGGGGGATCGGAGATTGGATCACCATACTTTCCCCTAATGACGGTGATAGGTGTGGCACTACAATTTACGTTTTTGATGGAATTAAACAGCGATGTCTGATCACGGGCTACTGAGGCAGATTCCATCTCCTCAGAAACCTGCGACCACCACCCATCATTGCAGCACCTCCCGGCTCTCAAAACCTCTGAGCGAAGGCTGCGGTAAGCCTCCTCATTCTCTGACGTGGAATGCTGTAGACCAGGGGTCCTCAAACTACGGCCCACGGGCCACATGCGGCCCGCCGAGGACATTTATCCGGCCCGCCGGGTGTTTTTGCCGCCGCTGCCTGTCTGTTACTTTTTTTCTACATGAGAAGGACGGTCATTGGTGGAAGAGGGAGAGGGGGCGGAGTTTCCCCCAATCAGACTGCATTGATGGGCAGTGCAGTCTGTATGTCTCTGTGTGGGCAAAGTTATTGCTGGTATATTGTTTTTGTAGCGCTGTATATATTGGTATTTTACTAATAGCAATTTTGACTCCCTAGGAAACAATGATGTCAAGAAAGAGAAAAATTGACTCGGAGTGTAGGATATTCAAAGAACAGTGGACTTATGATTATTTTTTCATGCAGTACAAGGAAAGAGCTGTGTGTCTGATATGCCAGAATATAGTGTCTGTGTTCAAAGAATACAATTTACGTCAACACTATAAAACTCAACATAAAGATACATTTGCTTGTTTGGTCGGAGAAGTGAGAAAAGATACAATATTAAAACTGAAAAATACATTAACAACTCAGCGAAATAGTTTTGTGAAGCAGAAGCAGCTAAATATTTCATCACTGCGAGCAAGTTTTCAAATTGCCAAGCTAATAGCATGCACTGGCAGACCATTCGTGGAGGGAGAATTTGTTAAAGAAAGCCTTCTTTCTGTTGCCAAAGAGATGTGTCCAGAGAAGGCCGATTTATTTAGTACAGTGAGTCTTTCAGGACCTACAATTACACGGAGGATTGAAGAAATGGGAGACAATTTGCATCAGCATTTGCAAAACTCCACAAAAAAACTTTCCTATTTTTCCTTGGCACTCGACGAAAGCAATGATGTTCGTGATTCTGCACAACTTCAAATTTTTATTCGTGCGACGAATGACTATTTCGAAGTCACAGAAGAGCTTGCTGCACTGCAAAGCATCAAAGGAACAACTACAGGAGAGGATATCTTTCGATTTAAAGCTTTCGTGACTGCAGGGATTCATCTTCTTGGTTCTTTCGGTAAAGTCACATAGAAGGGAAGTAATAAAATAATTCTCACGACGTTTCGGCCACAACGCAAGCAGCCGTCCTCAGGCGAAAACCAGGTCTGTTGGGGAGACAGCGTCTGAATGAAAGAGCACACGAGCTTGGAGCATATATAAGCTGGGTTGGAAGCGGGGGAAAGAGCGCCTTGACAAAATAATTTCAATATCAAGAGGAATTTAGCATATTTATGGGAAATGCAGGAATGTGATTAGTACTACATATGCCCGTGCTGCATATGTAGTACTAATAACATTCCTGCATGTCCCATAAATATGATAAATTCCTCTTGATATGCAAATTATTTGTCAAGGCGCTCTTTCCCCCGTTTCCAACCCAGCTTATATATGCTCCAAGCTCGTGTGCTGTTTCATTCAGATGCTGTCTCCCCGACAGACCTGGCTTTCACCTGAGGACGGCTGCTTGCGTTGTGGCCGAAACGTCGTGAGAATTATTTTATTATGTTTTATTTTTATTATTTTATTACTTCCCTTCTACGTGACTTTACCGAAAGAACCAAGAAGAGAGGATATCTATGAAAAGGTTTGCCAAACTGTGAATGGGTTGGAGCTGAACTGGGCTAAACTAGCCAGTGTGACAACTGATGGTGCTCCTAGTATGGTGGGTCTAAGAAAGGAGTAATTGCTCGCATTAACCAAGAGATGGACAAACATAACCATTCTCATCCAATAGCCATACACTGCCTCATCCACCAACAAGCGCTGTGTAGTAAATCACTGAAGTGGGACTCGGTTATGAAATTTGTGGTATCTTGTGTTAACTTCATTAGAGCTCATGCACTAAACCACAGACAATTTCAGGCATTTCTGTCTGAGCTAAATGTTGACTATGAAGATGTTCTGTATCACACAGAAGTCCGTTGGCTGAGTCGAGGGAGAGTTTTGAAACGTTTCTATGACTTACTTCCACAGATTACAGCTTTTCTGCTTTAAAAAAACAAAGAAGTACCAGAGCTCAATGATGCAGAATGGAAATGGCACCTTGCCTTTCTGACAGATGTAACAGAGCTACTCAACAGTTTCAATGTGCAACTTCAAGGAAAGGGGAAGCTCATCTGTGATATGCAATCACATGTCAAAGCATTTGAAGTAATATTAGGCCTCCTCATCAAACAAGTGAAGGAGGAAAACTTCTGCCATCTTCCCACAACTCAAAATCTGTTAGCGGAAAAACCATTGGTTGCATTCCCAAACAAAACGTGTGGATTCACTGGAAAAATTGCAAAAGGAGTTCCAATTTGGATTTAAAGAGCTTCATCTCCATGAACAGGACATACAGCTTTTCCGTAACCCATTTTCTATTGACATTGAAAATGTGGATACAATTTACCAAATGGAACTGGCTGAACTGCAGAATTGTGACTCTGAAAGACGCATTCAAGTCAAGCAGCCTTCATAATTTCTATGCATCTCTCCCCTCTGAGACATATCCTCATCTCAGGAACCATGCACTCAAAATGGCAACCATCTTTGGCAGCACTTATGTCTGTGAACAGACTTTTTCCAGAATGAAACATTTGAAATCTCCAACCAGATCTAGACTAATGGATGCACACTTGCATCACTTGTTACGACTACCAGTGACAAATATGGAACCGGACATTGACCATCTCATTAGCCAAAAGCAGGCCCATAGTTCCCATTGAAATACTGGCAAGTTTGTTGATTTAACTTTACTTGTTCTTCATTTTAAATATTGTATTTATTCCCGTTTTGTTTCTTCACTTCAAAATAAGATATATGCAGTGTGCATAGGAATTTGTTCATAGTTTTTTTAACTATAGTCCGGCCCTCCAACGGTCTGAGGGACAGTGAACTGGCCCCTGTTTAAAAAGTTTGAGGACCCCTGCTGTAGACTATGAGAGTGGGCCTGTCGCTTTTTCTCAGCCAGCCTGAACACCTCCTCTGTCAGCCAGGGTCTCTGGGGAGGTCTGAACCGCGTACCCAAAGCAGCCATTGCAGCTGCATGAGCCACAGTCATTAACCTCGCCCATTTACCCTCGATGTGTATCTGTGACCCTCTGTGACAATTCTCTCTCTCTCTGTCTCTCTGCGACTCTCTGCTTCTGTCTCTCTTGCGTCTCTGTGTGGTCGCTGCTGCTGCTGCTGCTAGCGGCGGCGGCCTTCCGGCAGCAGAGGACATCCACGTGACCTGCGGCGTCTGCGTTCGAAGCGTTTGGGGGCGGCGGGGATGGAGCAGCAGTACGAGTCCGTGGCCGAGTTGGGCGCTGGGGTCTACGGGGCCGCGACGACTTTGAAGGCTCGCGACCTCCGGGAGCAGGGCCGCTTTGTGGCGCTGCTCAAGGGCCTGCGCCTGCAGACAGGCGGGGGCCCGGAGGAAGATGCCTGGCAGCTGCTGCAGCTACAGCTGCTCACGAAGCTGGAGCACCCCAACGTGGTGAGGTGGGTGTCTCTCCCACCCCTCGCGCCGCGTCACAATCCCTCGCAATCGTCGCCGCGTCAGCCTCCATCCTCCAATTCTCCACGGTCATCGTGTCTTGAAAAGATTAGGAGACAGATCATCGTCGTCGTCGTCAAACCGAGATGACTTCTGCGCTCTCTTGCTCTGATGTCTCCGACCCCCGACCCCCGACCGGCCTGCCCCAGGCTGCTGGACGTCTTTGTGGATATTCGTGACGAGGGCGGCGCGCGTCACGCCGTGGTCTGTGAGCTCGTAGACCAGGATCTGTCCACCTACCTGGGGAAGTCGCCCCACACACCGTCCCACCACATCAAGGTGCCACCGCCAGCACCACCACCACCCACCCCGTCACTCCCTACTCCACCCCCAAAAGGCAACACCACTCTCAGAGTCTCTGTGTATCTCTATGGGTCTCTGTGTGTCTCTGTGAGTCTCTATGAGTCTCTGTGTGTCTCTGTGTCTATGAGTCTCTATGAGTCTCTGTGTGTCTCTGAGTCTCTATGAGTCTCTATGAGTCTCTGTGTGTCTCTGTGTATCTCTGAGTCTCTATGAGTCTCTACCAGTCTCTGTGTATCTCGCACGCACGTTGCCAGCCGAGCCTCGGAGCGGCTAACGAGTTTACACTCCCCCCCCCCCCCTCCTTGTGTCGTGACCTTGTGCCGTGCCCTTGTGCCGTGCCCTTGCGCCGTGACCTTGCGCCGTGACCTTGTGCCGTGCCCTTGCGCCGTGCCCTTGCGCCGTGACCTTGTGCCGTGACCTTGCGCCGTGACCTTGTGCCGTGCCCTTGTGCCGTAACCTTGTGCCGTGACCTTGCGCCGTGCCCTTGCGCTGTGCCCTTGTGCCATGACCTTGTGCCGTGACCTTGCGCCGTGACCTTGTGCCGTGCCCTTGTGCCGTGACCTTGTGCCGTGACCTTGCGCCGTGACCTTGTGCCGTGACCTTGCGCCGTGCCCAGGAGGTGACGCGCCAGCTGCTGTGTGGGCTGCGCTACCTGCACGGCCACGGCCTGGAGCACCGCGAGCTCACGCCACGCAGCGTCCTGGTGACGGCCTCCGGGCGCGTCAAGATCGCCGGCTGGGGGCTCGCACGCTTCCTGGACAGCGCGAGCAGGGCTCCCACCCCGGCGGTGAGTAGAGAGAGTGAGAGAGAGAGAGGTCTTCTTGGTTCTTTCGGTAAAGTCGTCACGTAGAAGGGAAGTAATAAAATAATAAAAATAAAACATAATAAAATAATTCTCACGACGTTTCGGCCACAACGCAAGCAGCCGTTCTCAGGTGAAGACCAGGTCTGTCGGGGAGACAGCGTCTGAATCTGTCTTCCGGCCAACACCGGCGACGATTATCTTAACCGGTCCCGGGCCTCCCCTAGGTTGACTCAGCCCCAAAAGAGTACCCGGTGCGGTGCGCGGTAAACATCGCCACCGGGGAGACAAAGGCGGCCGGGCGCGATGCTGGCCACCCACCCCCTCGTGTGCCGGCCGTCATAGGTGCTGCTAACGGCACTTGCCCCTACGGTGTGTGAAGGCTACACGGGGGATCTTTGTCTTTGTGTGTGTGCTGCTGTAGGTGTCCCCGTCGTGGTACCGCGCCCCGGAGCTGCTGCTGCTGCGGGTGACCTGCGGCCCGGCCGCTGCCGACCTGTGGAGCGTCGGCTGCATCTTTGCTGAGATGTTTACACGCAGGTGCTCCTTGAGCACCGCCACCCGCACACCCAGCCACCTAGCAACCCACCCACCTAGCAACCCACCTAGCAACCCACCTAGCAACCCACCTAGCAACCCACCCACCTAGCAACCCACCCACCTAGCAACCCAGCCACCTAGCAACCCACCTAGCAACCCACCTAGCAACCCACCTAGCAACCCACCCACCTAGCAACCCACATAGCAACCCACCCAGCCACCTAGCAACCCACCCACCTAGCAACCCACCCACCCACCTAGCAACCCACCTAGCAACCCACCCACCTAGCAACCCACATAGCAACCCACCCACCCACCTAGCAACCCACCCACCCAGCCACCCACCCACCTAGCAACCCACCTAGCAACCCACCCACCTAGCAACCCACCCACCCACCTAGCAACCCACCCACCCACCTAGCAACCCACCCACCTAGCAACCCACCCACCCACCTAGCAACCCACCTAGCAACCCACCCACCTAGCAACCCACCCACCCACCTAGCAACCCACCCACCCACCTAGCAACCCACCCACCCACCTAGCAACCCACCCACCTAGCAACCCACCCACCCACCTAGCAACCCACCTAGCAACCCACCCACCTAGCAACCCACCCACCCACCTAGCAACCCACCCACCCACCTAGCAACCCACCCAGCCACCCACCTAGCAACCCACCCACCCAGCAACCCACCCACCAATCTAACAAACCACCCACCCACCTAGCAACCCACCCACCCAGCAACCCACCCACCCACCTAGCAACCCACCCACCAACCCACCCACCTAGCAACCCACCCACCCACCAATCCACCAAACCACCCACCCATCAACCCACTCAACAACCCACCCACCCACCTAGCAACCCACCCACCAACCCACCCACCTAGCAACCCACCCACCCACCAATCCACCAAACCACCCACCCATCAACCCACTCAACAACCCACCCACCCACCTAGCAACCCACCCACCCACCTAGCAACCCACCCACCCACCTAGCAACCCACTCGACAACCCACCCACCAATCTACCAAACCACCAACCCACCAACTCACTCAAGAACCCACCCATCAACCCACCCACCAACCCACCCACCAACCCACCCACCTCTCCCGCACGCAATGTCACCACAGGCCTGGCAAGGTGGCGTCGCCACGGCGCCCGTGCCAGGATAGGTGCGCGTTACGGAGCGCGTGAAGGTCAAGGGACAGACCCGGCAGATGCCCCCGTGGGTCCACCTCTCCCCCATTACATCGGTGTTGTTATGATGATGATGACGATGACGACGTGTTATTATTCTCAGCGACGTCGCATCAGGTGACCTCCTTGTCTCTCCTCAACGCAGGCCTCTCTTCCCCGGAGGCTCCGATGTCGATCAGCTGACGGAGATATTCCGGTGAGTTGCTCGTGGATGAGCGTGCGGTGGGCAGCGGCGTGGGGGGCCAATAGACGGTCATCTAATTTGTTAGCAGCAAGCAACGTGGGGGGAGGGGGGGAGGAGGGGGAGGGGGTGGGGAGGGGGGGGAGGGTGGGAGAGGGAAGTGGGAGGAGGAGGGGGGGAGGGGGAAGGGGGAGGAGAGTGAGGTGGGGAGAGGGAAGGGGGAGGAGAAGGAGGGGGGAGGAGGAGGAGGGGGGGAGAGGGAAGGGGGAGGGGGGAGGGGGAAAGGGGAGGAGAAGGAGGGGGGGAGAGGAGGAGGGGGGAGGAGGAGGAGGGGGGGAGAGGGAAGAGGGAGGGGGGAGGGGGGGAGAGGGAAGGGGGAGGAGTATTTGGCTGCTGATGTGAATTCCGCAACAGCCACTTCGTTGCGCAATCATTTATGAAATTAGGTTGATAGTCAACAGCTGAATTCTCACCGTCACCTCCGCCTACCCCCCCTACCCCCCTACCCCCACCCCCCCCGTGGCCCCCACCCCAGTCTTCTGGGCGTGCCGAGCCTGGAGGAGTGGCCGCTCGGAGCCTCCCTGCCGCACGGCGCTTTTGCCGGCCTCCCCGCTGCTCCGCGGGCTCTGGCTGACTCCGTGCCGGAGGTCGGGCCGGAGGTCGGGCCGGACAACGAGAATTTGGCGATGGCGCTGATGCTGGTGAGATGCGGGCGGATTGTACGCGGCGGCAATTGTCGCGGCGGTCGAACGACGCGTTGTTCAGATGCGTGTCCGTACGGGGGTTACCGTCAAGCGGGCAATAACGTATCGTGTCTCTGTGTGTCTCTGTGTGTCTCGTCTCGTGTCTCTGTGTCTCTCTGTGTCTTTCGTCTCGTGTCTCTGTGTCTCTCTGTGTCTCTCCGCGCCCTCCGCACGCACGGCCGTGCCTCCCGCAGGACCTGCTGACCTTCAGCCCCCGCAAGCGCATCTCCGCGTCTGTCGCCCTGTACCATCCGTACTTCTCTGAGGCCACAGACGTGGCCACGGGCGAGAGTACGGCCACAAGCGAGGGTGCGGCCACGGGCGAGGGCGAGGCCTAAGGAGTGGGCCCCGGGGCGAGGCCTAAGGAGTAGGCCCCGGGGCAAGGCCTAAGGAGTGGGCCCCGGGGCGAGGCCTAAGGAGTGGGCCCCGGGCAGCAAGGCCGAGGGAGTTTGCGTCGTTTTTCGTTGGTCGCTTGTGTTGCGCCCGAAACGTTGCGATTTGATTTGTTTTAATGTTTCACCGACGTGACTTCACCGAATAAAACCAAGGAGTAATAAAAGTGAACTCTGAAGCAGCAAAAGAAAAGTGAAGTACATCTTTGTTGTCGTCGTGTTGTTGTTTTCACAAATGTTGCAGTGGGCGACTTATTAAGAGCACGCCGTTACGTAGCGCAGCTACGCACAGGCGATCTGTATTGATTGTATAATGCTCTAGACTTCTGGGTCAGTCATCATATAACTGTGTGACAGCGTCGCAGCCATGTGCGCACTGACACGACCATATGACAATTGAGTATAAACCAAAGGTCGCAATCGGGTACCCGATACCCGTACCCTACACGATACCCGGCTACCCGTACCCAGACGGGTACAGGTACCCGTTCGCGACCCTGGTGCGGCCTGGTACGGGTAGACCGTGAGTCACTGGTGAGTCATCGTTTGTCACTCATTTCCCAACGTCTTGTCTCTTCTCACAATTCAAGTTCCTAGAATCAACCCACCCGCGCCTGCAACATGGCTTCATCCCAGAGGTCGCAATCGGGTACCCGATACCCGTACCCTACCCGGTACCCGGCCGGGTACGGGTAGGGTACGGGTACGGGTACCCGTTTGCGACCCTGGTGCGGCCGGGTACGGGTAAGGAATCAAAACCCGTTTGCGACCTCTGGTATAAACGAACTCACGTGGATACATGCCCCACACAGGGCCTGAACATTGTATCACAAGGGGTCGTTCACTCACGGTTCAATGACACAGCAATACAATTTTAGCCGTTATTAAAACGGTGCTTATACACAGATGTGTACAGGATTTCATGTTGTCCTGTTGCACGTTCTATCTGGCCAAGCAGCACTGGGAAAAGAACATCTGACTCACAAGTTGTGGGGGCCATGAGTCACAATCCCAGGTGGGTGCCAGGTGACTTGACCTCATTATGGGATGTCAGCAATGGATGTCCTGTGAAGAATGTTTTAAGCCCCTTTTTGTAAATCCACCGTTGAAGGCCTCCTGATACCATGTTGAGCATCCATAAAGGTTGAATGAGTTTGACATTTTACTCGTAGGAACCTCTGGTTACACCAGCCCACATGGGATTATTGTGTCCGTCGTGCAGGGAGGGGCTGAGTGGGGAGCGGCTGGGTGGGGAGGGGCTGATTTGGGAGGGGCTGGGTGGGGTGGGGCTGGGTGGAGAGGGGCTGGTCACCCCGTGGTGCCCTTATAAAACTCAACGTTTAACCTACTCACGCCGGCTTGTGCCCGCCCTCACAGTCGGGCATATTTGCGGAATACACCACGCCGCCGTTGACCCTGCAGGCCATTGAGCGAGCAACGTTCCTACCAGCTCCCTCCGCAGGAGGAATGTGTTTATGTGTCGTTAGACCCTCCACCACCCGATGACACAGCCCATCAGTGAGGGTTGCCACGTAAACAAAACACGCCGTGTCGTTACTCGTACAGCGGCACACAGGTGCGTTGGAGAGTAAACCCACGACAACAACGTTTACAATTCTAGTGTGAATTCTAGATTTGAAGTGTTCGTGACTGCAAGGATTCATACTCTTTGGTTTTTTCGGTAAAGTCACGTGGGTACAAAATCTAAATAAATTAGATCGCGACGTTTCGGGCGCAACACAAGCATCCTTCTTCAGGTAGGGACAACTTAGAAGGAGGTTTGTGTTACGCCAGAAACGTGATTTAATTTTTAACAAAAAAATACCTACGTGACCAACGAGTATAACACTGGTCAAACACGTTTTCTGCTGATTCCAAATCTGGCATCAGTTTTTGTCTATCACATCAGGTTTTTGAGATATCAAATATTTGCATTTTCAATAAAAACTGCGGAAGAAAAATATTAAATAAATGTGGATATCTACATAAAATGATATTATAAACACACCATCCTAAACATACAGCACCATGTTTTAACACTAAAGCAGTCACTGACTCGCAACGACTTGCAATCATAAGTGACAGAGTTAATTTCGGGTAAAATCAATGAAAATGGGGTATGCCGATAGCATAATAAGTATAACCCGTAAAAACAAAGTTTTTCACTCTAAATCCTTTATATGCGTGGCGGCTAGAGTCCTCTCGTCCTCTGGCTTGAGATGGCTGCCACCTATGGGTCAGATGATTGTCTGCCAGCATTAAGCAATTGGTAATTAAATATTGAATTTGTTTTTCCTATACAGTGTAAAATTTTGGAAAAAAAATTTCACGAACATTACTTGTCACACACAACGAGTCTGTGTGCAAAATGTCAGCTCGATTGGATCACGGGAAGTGGGTTAAAAAACGACCGAAAGATTTGCACGGTCGTAAGCAAGCGCGCAAGCAAGTGAACTTAATATAAAGGATTTAAAAATGAGATGTGATTGAGCAAATCTGAGATCAGATTTGGAATCGGCACCCTGAGATGAGTCTAGAACAGCTGCACAAGTCCAGGCCAAAGACAAAGATCCCCCGTGTAGCCTGCAGCGACTGCTGGGGCAGCAGGAGCTGAACGAGTGGACGGCGACTCTGGAACCCACAACCAACCGGCGGGTGGCGAGCGATGAGGTCGGCCATAAATGACGTCACACGATTTAGGACGATTTTTGACCCCCCCCCTCAAATATGACGTCACAGAGCTCTGCCCCCCCCCCACCCCCCAAAAATAAAAATGCTTCAAATCGCTTTAAACTCTGATGTTGTAGGAGAAAACATTTATTACGAAGTCTATTTAGTGAAGTAGAACGTGTCGTCTATATCTTCTTGGTTCTTTCTGTAAAGTCGCGTAGAAGGGAATAAAATAATAAAATTAATAAAATGAAAATAAAACATAAAAAAACATAATTATATTATTATATTATTTAAAGTTGCGCATTTTGATGTGACGTCACATTTCTCAACTCCCCCCCCCCCTCGTCACGCATCGTCACAAATGTCTGACCGCCCCCCTCCCCATAGGTGCGTGACGTCATTTATGGACGGACCCTTAGCATGAACCGTTTGCCCCCAATCAATAGGTTTCTGTTCACAATATATTTCAATGTCCAATATATTCTAGTGCTGTGCAAGAGCCTGTCAGTGCTGTTTGTTTAACCCCCCCCACCAACCCTCCATCAAATGTAAACGAATGAAATCGATACTTTATAATCGATCACTAATACTTTATAATCGATCATTATTAATATTACCACTACGCCGGTCTCGGAGTGGTCAAAGCACGCGTCTGCGCATGCGCGGTTGCCACGGCGACCGCGCATGCGCAGAAGCGCCGATAGTGCGGTTGCCACGGCAACAGAGCAACAGCAGCTGAGAGGGGTAAGTCGTGAACAGCAACTTCAACGCCCTCAGCACCAGCACCAGCACCACGACCACCACCACCACGATGTTGTTGTGTTAATGTTGGGTTTATCTATGGCAGTATATAGTACGGTATATGCTCGTGTGATGTAAGAGAATAAGGTTTAGATGGAAGCATATTATAGAATTTTTACGAGGTAAAATTGTAATGTATTACTTGCTGTTAGTAACTCAGCTTATTATAGAGTATAGTAAGTATACTGATGGTGCGATGCAGTTTATACTTTAGTTTTTTATGTAGTTTATACTTTAGTTTTCTACGTGGTTGTTGAGTAACTGCAGCTACATATCATTAACATTCCTTTCCTTTGTTACTGCTAATCCCTGCACCCCCCTTGGTTGCTGCTGATCCTGCATAATGCATGGGCATAATATGACTTTGACACCCCCCCGCCCAACGCCTACGCATTTTCCATGAATATGCTAAATCCCTCTTCACATGCACATTCTTTTTGTTAAGGCGCTCTTCAACCCCCAATGCAGCTTATATATAAGCTCCTAGTTTGGTAGTGTCTCATTCTTCACCTGAAGACGGCTGCTTGCGTTGTAGCCGAAACGTCGTGAGAATTGTTTTATTATGTTTTATTTTTATTATTTTATTACTTCCCTTCTACGTGACTTTACCGAAAGAAACAAGAAGATGAATCCCTGCAGTCACGAAAGCTTTAAATCGAAATTTGATGTTGTTGTTGTTGTTGTGTAGCTACTACCATAGAGTTGGTAGATACTACTCGGTAGACACTACTGCTGTAGAGGGAGCCACTTGATACTATTGTACAGTGAAGCCTCACTGAGCAATAATCCTCTTAGTTAGAAGGATGCTACGCTGAGCCTACGATGCCTGTTTACCCAGCAAGGCCTCAACTGAGTAATAATAGAAATAAAATAACAATTATTATTATTTTTAATAATTAAAATTACAGAAATAAAAATAGAAATAAAAGTATAATTATATATTTCCTATTTATAGAAGAATTTCCGTTATTTTTATTATTTATTTTTTGCCCACGTGACTTTACCAAAAAAAACAAAGAGTATGAATCCTTGCAGCCACGGAAGCTTCACATCTCCACTTTGCGTGTCTATCTTCACGTGGTTGCGTGGATTTTTTCCCTCCGGGTCCTCCCGTTTCTCCCCCAACTTTTTGTAATCGACGTTCGTAGCCGGTATTTGCCTGCTGGACATTTACAAGTGAGAAGCCGCTTCCTTGAGCCAGCTCAATGGGCCTTACCTGCTGAAATAAAACATCGCCTTCAGTTGCGGTAGTTTGACTCTTGCGAATGAAGTCACTGGACTCCTAACGTCCGCTGTGAAGCAGACGGCAAATAGTGACAGTCTTGTATGGACGTGTGTTGAACGTTGTCACCGTACGTAGCCAACCGTGCGAATCGGAGTATCGGTACGGTTAGTAGGCACCGCAGTATTAACCAGGGCGGTTGCTGCCTTCGAACTGTGATCCTCTGCGACAATTGGTGAACGCGCTACCGCCAGGCCGTGTGTTTTCCTTCGCGAGCCCGATGCGTGCTTGAGCGTGATACTCAAAGCTCTGCACAGATAGAATCAAGAATCCATCGCTGTACCATCACCTACTGGGCACTGCACAGCCCAAGACGAAACACCCTGTACCTAGTACCGTACTGAACACCCGGGCAGTTTGCCACCAAACTACTAACCAGGCCAACCTGTACTCTTGGTTCTTTCGGTAAAGTCACGTAGAAGGGAAATAATAAAATAATAAAATAAAACATAATAAAATACAATTCTCACGACATTTCGGCCACAACGCAAGCAGCCGTCCTCAGGTGAAGAACAGGTCTGTCGGAAAGACAGCGTCTTAATGAACAAACAGCATCTGAATGACGCTGTCTCCCCGACAGACCTGGTCTTCACCTGAGGACGGCTGCTTGCTTTGTGGCCGAAACGTCGTGAGAATTATTTTATGTTTTATTTTTATTATTTTATTATTTCCCTTCTACGTGACTTTACCGAAAGAACCAAGAAGATGAATCCCTGCAGTCACGAAAACTTTAAATGGAAACAGGTCAACCTGCTTTAGCTTTTGAGGCGTAATGATACTAATAATGATTTGAAGCTTTCGTGACTGCAGGAATCCATCCGCGTGCGGTTTGTCCGCTTTAAAAGCATCTAATCTCAATGTAAATTTGTCTGGAGAACTCCCCCTAGAATTCAATGACTGAGGATACATTTTGAAAGTGGAGTACATGCCAACGAGATCACGATCACGAGAATGGAAACTGTAAACGGGTTACATTTGACCCGATCATTCGGATAAATTGGCTCATCTGCCCTGGCGCTGATTACCCATTTATGATGGCAAGGGCAACTCATCATACAACGGAGGAGCATGTGTCATTGTCGAGGGGGGGGTGTGTGGAGAGCAATTGAATCTCATTCGTGCGTTGTCAAGCCACATGCTATCACAGTATTACCCTCCGATTGACACGGTTGGCTACGTACGGTGCGAAAGATGTTCAGCAAACATTGCATACATATACATTGCATGACCATGCAATGTAAAATCAACTGAAAAAAGAAAAATTTGAAATCGCCTGCCCTCACTAATTTGTAATTGCCTCCCATTAAACAGCAACGAATTGTATAAATTCGACATCGACCGCCATTAAAATTCTGACAATGACATTACAACCCCAGCCAACACCACCGTTAAAATCACCAGTACCTGCTAAAATATTTACAACCACTCTTACTTATACGAAACATACAATTGCATTTCTGCGCCGCCACTGATTTTCTGCATATTTTTTTTATTTCACGCGGCTTTGTATCTGCTGACATTTTTTGTTGTCGAAATCTGCCGCGTGCCAGCCTGACCCCTGCCAGAGGTCGCAACCGGGTACCCGATACCCGTACCCTACCCGATACCCGGCTACCCGTACCCGACCGGGTACGGGTAGCCGGGTATCCGTTTGCGACCCTGGTGCGGCCGGGTACGGGTAGGCCGTGAGTCACTGGTGAGTAACCGTTTGTCACTCATTTCCCAACGTCTTCTCTCTTCTCACAATTCAAGTTCCTAGAATCAACCCACCCGCGCCTGCAACATGGCTTCATCCCAGAGGTCGCAATCGGGTACCAGATACCCGTACCCTACCCGTACCAGGGCGGGTACGGGTAGGGTACGGGTGCGGCCGGGTACGGGTACGGGTAAGGAATCAAAACCCGTTTGTGACCTCTGACCCCGGCGCAGTTCTCCAACCGCCATGTACGAGGCGGCGCTGCTTGACGGCGGCACAGAGCCGCTGACGCACGAGTCCTGCGAGAGGGTCGTCGTCAACGTGTCGGGGCTGCGATTCGAGACGCAGCTCAAGACACTCGGCCGGTTCCCGGACACCCTCCTGGGCGACCCCGGCAAGAGGTGGCGCCACCACGACCCCCTGCGCAACGAGTACTTCTTCGACAGGAACCGGCCGAGTTTCGACGCCATCCTCCACTACTACCAGTCCGGCGGGCGGCTGAGACGCCCGGTCGACGTCTCCCTCGAAGTGTTCGGCGAGGAGATCGAGTTCTACGAGCTCGGCAACGAGGCCGTGGTCAAGTTCTGGGAAGACGAGGGCTTCATCGGAGAGGAGGAGGTGGAGGAGAAGGAGCCACTGCCATCGGACGAGTTCCAGCGGCGGGTGTGGCTGCTGTTCGAATACCCCGAGAGCTCCATCGCGGCCAGGGGAATTGCCACCGTGTCTGTGCTGGTCATCCTCATCTCCATCATCATGTTCTGCCTCGAGACTCTGCCTGAACTCAGGGACGAGAATAAGCAGAAATTTCTCCCGGCAAAGGACATCAACGGCACGCAGGTCGACGGTACACATCGCGGCTTTGTCGCTGATCCATTTTTTATCGTGGAAACCATGTGCATCGTTTGGTTTTCCTTTGAACTGCTGGTGAGGTTTTTTGCGTGCCCCAACAAACTGGGATTTTTCAAAAGCATCATGAACATCATTGACATCGTGGCCATTCTGCCCTACTTCATCACCCTCGGCATCGAGATGGCCAAGCCCCAAGGGCGTGACCAGCAGGCCACGTCACTGGCGATTTTGCGGATGACCCGGCTGGTGCGAGTGTTCCGGATACTCAAGCTGTCCAGGCACTCCAGGGGCTTGAAGATCCTGGGCCAGACTTTGAAGGCGAGCGCGAGCGAGCTGGGCCTGCTCGTATTTTTCCTCGTCATCGGCGTCGTCCTCTTCTCCAGCGCCGTCTACTTTGCCGAGGCCGACCAACTAAACTCGGAGTTCCGAAGCATCCCCGACACCTTCTGGTGGGCCATCGTAACCATGACGACGGTGGGTTACGGCGACATGTGTCCCGTGACGGCGTGGGGCAAGGCGGTGGGCTCGCTGTGCGCCATCGCCGGCATGCTCACCATCGCCCTCCCCGTGCCCGTCGTCGTCTCCAACTTCAACTACTTTTACCGCCGCGAGACGGGCGGTGAGGAGCGCGCGAGCCGCCTGCGTCTCTCAAGCCGCTCGCAGCAGCAGCAGGAGGAGCAGCAGAAGCAGCAGAAGCAGCAGCAGGAGAGAAGAAATAGCGGATGCCGTCCACAAGCAGCTTCACATACGTGGAGATGCGCGACGATCTGAGCGGCGACGTTGACTTCGAGGTGAAGATGCACCTCAAGCGCGACAAACACAACGGCATCGACAGAGACGTCCGATGCTCCGCCTTGCAAGTCGTCACGAAATGCCTCGAGGTATTTGTTCGCGATGAATGTGCACTGACATCGCTTACCTGTCGCTACGCTTGAATGGTCGAATGGACATTTGAGTCGCGTGGTCAATAAATGTTTTCAAGTCAACTTCACGTCTGCGAGCGTAAGTGTCTCCGTGTGCATAGTTGTCAATGTGGCGTTGTTTTGGAAGGAGGTTCGCGGTGAAAACCAAACCACCCACCCACCATTTTGCAGTGCACCGTGCAAAGACACGACTGCAAACGCGAACATTCCTTCGTAGAGGTGGGATTGGCAGCTGTGCACCTCCTGCCACAATGAAGCCGGGTTCGTGCTAATCTGCTGAACATATTTTGTAAGTAATGTTACAGTTGTAGAGGTGTAATTGCGCATGGCTACGAATGTTGAGGTGTGATTATGCATGGCCACGGATGGCCAACAAACACAAGGGGCGGGGTTACGGCCGTACACAAGGGTGGCGCTAGCACCGACGTCCGCATGTGTATCCCCCACGGGCCCCCCCTCGGGGGCGAGTCCTATAAAAGGTGATGAGCTCGAGGGCTCGAGGTCGGGACTCAGCTTTAACCAGAGAAGACGGAAGACCAGCTAGTGTAGGCCCCAGAGCTCCCCTGGCTCGCTGTCCTTATAAGGGCCGACCAGGGCAAGCCGGTGGCGTGGCCCCGAGAGCCCAGCTGCTCTGGTGACTCAGGGAGCCGGGATCCCAGCTTAACCAAGCTGGGACAGATAGCCTCCCCTAGTCCCGTAGTGGAGGAATTGGTATAGGTTAGAGGGGTTAGCTGTCGAGAATCCCTGTAGCCAAGTGACCTGTACAACTGTGTTGGTGTAATAAATAAGTGTGCCTCCGATCCTGTCGTCAAGCCTCCATATATATACTTACTACATCTGGTGTCAGAAGTAAACGTCCAACGATGGACACACGAGGGACGACACGTACCAGGGAGTCGGAGATGGAAGACGCCGCGGCCGAATCTCCACCAGTGATGGCCGGGGTCGAATCGGAGCAGCCGGGGCCGAGTACGCCCGCGCCGCTACGACAGGAGGAGGGGGATGCGTCGGCCGAAGGACTCCGGCTGGCCCACTCCCGCCTGGCGGACCTGCTCTACGCCGCGGCCGCCGCGTTGGAGGAGATCACGCGGCTGGGGGCTGGAGGAGCAGCGCGGGTCGACGACGGCAGCCGGCGCGGGGCGACGTTTCCCGCCACCCCGACGCGGCTCGCGGTCAAATTTCCCGCCATCTCTACAGTACGAGCGGAGGGCGGGGCCGGCCCGCGTCACGTGTCTGCTGAGCGCCAAGCACAAGCCGTGACATCATCAACGCCGGCCGGCGCGTCAACATCAGAGCGACCGGCGATGCCATGTGCACGGCCCGCCCACACTGTATCATCGGCGGGGAGCGACGGAGAGCGTTCTGCGGCCACGGACGCCGCCTTACAACAGCGTCTGCCGCCTCTTAAAGAATTTGTCGGCGCTGACGGAGACTGGGGCGGCTTCAAGAGGCGGTTCATCGCTCATCAAGAGATGGCGAACTGGACGGACGCCGAGGCTCTACGCGCGCTGCCAGCGATGCTGGACAACGACGCCCTGGCTACCCTCACCTCGGCGCCGAGGGAAAAGCGCGCCACTCTACACCTGGCGTTGCAGCTGCTGTCAGCCGTCTATGGGCCGCCTTCGGACTGCAGGCAGCTGTTCCACGATCGGAGTCGGGGCGCCAACGAGTCACCCCTGGCCTTCCGGACGGCTCTCCTGGCTCTGGCAAAGGCTGCTTTCCCAAGGATGGACGAGGAAGGAGTGGATGCCATGGTAGCTGAGAAGCTGCTGCTACTCGCTGACGAGCTGGACGTCAACGTCTTGGCTCAGGACGACGCGGAGATGTCGTCCCTGCTGGTCGCGCGCCACATCCACGGGGGCTTGCGGTCCCTGCGTCGGAAGGCGGCAAAGGGGGCGGCCGGCCATGCCATGGCGACCACCGCCCTCCCATCGGAGGAGGTCTGCGGGGTGGAGCGGCGAGGGGAATGGAGATCGGCGGCACCGCAGGCTCGGAATGGACCGAGCCGCCAGGAGCAGCCCAGGTCATCTGGGGCGCTCACACGCTGCTACAACTGTGGCCTGCAAGGCCACGTTGCGTCTGGATGCCGGGCTCCCCGTCAGCGCGGGGCGACACCTCGTCAGGACGCCACGCCGTCTCCTCCCAAGCTCCAGCAGAGAAATACGGCGAGTCGCGGCACCTCACACGTTTGGCCCACGCACACATCCGACACACACTCACGCGCTCAACTAAACAGGGCTCCAAATTCCCCGTCCGTCGCGCGCGATTGTTCGGTAATGCGGCGAGCGCTCCAACCGGGTCAGTGGTCGGAGCTCGCCCATCGTGTCGTTGCTGCGTCGGCGGGATCATCGGTCGTGGTCGGTCACATTGATGGGGTAGAGGTGCGGATTTTAATTGACACAGGGGCATCGGCGACCATTATATCTGATTTAATTTATAACATCCTTCCCGTTCAAAGTCGTCCCTTGCTCCCTGTTGACGTGCCGTGCTATGCCGCTAACGGGGGCTCTCTGGGCATTATTGGCCAAATCCGCGCCACTATCTGCATTGGGGACATTAAATTATCCGGCCCTGTTTTGGTTTCCTCCTCACTCGCGGTTCCGTGCCTGTTGGGGACGGATTTTCTGGCCAAAATGCCCATCCGTATCCTTATTGACCAAGGGTGCATTGAGCTCCCATCGGGCCGACGCGTTACATTTCTGTCTTCCCCCACCACGGAGCGTCGGGCGTTTGCCACCGTGCAGGCGCTCGTCACAAAAACTGTGCGCGTGCCTCCGGGGGCTCAGATGCTCGTCCCTCTTAGGTTGCGTCGGCCGTTTGATGCAGGGGTTGCGGATCGGGGGGTCTTGTTGGGTCCATCTCGGGCCGGGGTCAATGGACCCGATTTGCTCGCGGCTCAGACTATGGTGAGAGGGGATGGGGACCCCTTCATTGCAGTCCTTAATGTGGGATCGCGAACGGCCGTGGTTCCTCAAGGGACCGTGCTTGCACACGCAACGCCGGTGCCCTATGAGGAACCACTCGTGGGTCAGGTATCCACCGATCCTCCGTCGCGACCGCATTCGGACTCTGATGACGGATGGCTGGATGCGCTTTGCGCGGGTTCAGTGGACCTGTCTGACTCGCAGCGCGCGCAGCTGCGAGTTCTCCTGAGCGAATTTGCTGACGTTTTTAGTCAACACAAATTTGATATTGGTTGTACAAAATTGCTGCGACACCATATTGACACGGGTGACAGCGCGCCAATCCGCCAAAATCCCTTTCGGTTGAGTCCCGCCGAAAAGGATCATGTCAAATCGGCTGTTGATGACATGCTAGCCGCCGATATCATTTCCCCTTCCACCAGCCCGTGGGGCGCGCCGATCGTTTTGGTGAAAAAACACGACGGCTCACTGAGATTTTGTGTTGACTTTCGGCGTCTCAACAAAATCTCTGTGGCAGATGCGTACCCGCTTCCTCGGATGGATGAGTCGCTCGACGCCTTGGCCGGTGCGCGATTCTTTTCCACCCTTGATTTGCTATCTGGATTCTGGCAACTTCCTCTGGATGACGAATCGAAACCTAAGACTGCTTTTCGTACACCGCAGGGCCTCTTCCAATTTAACCGTTTGCCGATGGGTTTACATTCTGCGCCGGCAACTTTTCAGCGGTTAATGGAATTGGTCTTGGCAGGTTTGCAATGGGATTCGTGTTTGATTTACTTAGACGATGTCATCGTCTTTAGCAAATCCTTCGAGGAACACCTCCAGAGGTTGCGTGCTGTTTTTCTCAAAATGCGGGCTGCCAATTTGAAATTTAAACCACAGAAGTGTCATTTACTCCGCGAATCGGTGCGATATTTGGGTCACATTGTTGGGCGCTCGGGGATATCCACTGATCCCGCCAAAACTGAATGCGTCAGCTCCTGGCCGACTCCCACCTCTGTGGGAGAGGTCAGGAGTTTCATTGGGTTCGCGTCGTATTATCGGCGATTTGTGGCTGACTTCGCTACGATTGCGAAACCATTGCATGCCTTGACGTCCAAGGGAGTCAGGTTTCATTGGGGGCCGGAGGAGGAGGCTGCTTTTCGCGCCCTCAGAAATGCTTTGGTGGGAGCTCCGCCGTTGAATTACCCGGATTTTTCACAACCCTTCTTGCTCGATACTGACGCAAGTAACACGGGCATCGGGGGTGTGCTGTCCCAGCTCATCGGGGGCGTAGAGCATGTGGTGGCTTACGGTAGTCGGGTACTGTCTCCAGCCGAACAGCGGTACTGCGTTACCCGTCGGGAATTATTGGCCATTGTTTATTTCATTCAGCAGTACCGCCCGTATCTGTACGGTCGGCGGTTCACCGTCCGTACAGATCATGCGGCCCTACAGTACGCCCTGCGGGTTCAACAACCATCGGGCCAGTTGTCTCGATGGTTGGAGATCCTCCAAGACTATGACTTTGTCACCACATATCGTAAGGGTGTCCGCCACACGAACGCTGACGCCCTGTCACGATTGCCACCCACTTCGGAGTGCGCGTGCCTGTTGGGTTCGGGGCGTTGTAGGCCCCCGAACGTCACCACCGATTCGGTCCTCGTGGCCGCTACCGATGCACCTTCGGCTTCGGGTCCTATCGAGCAAGAAGGGAGGGATTCGTTGCTGGGGTTGCCGGTCGCGGAATGGGGACGCCTCCAAATGGAGGACACCTCCCTCCTCGCTTTGCGCCGTCGCGTCGGGGGGGCTGGTCAGGGGGTGGAAAACGTTGACTCGTGGGGGTTGTTCCAGGGTCTTTTGATGCACTGGGATGGAAAAACCCGGCGCCAGCGGCTTGTGGTGCCTGCTGCTTTAAGGGGTAAGGTGGTATGGGCTGTTCATGAGCGGCTTCTGCACTTGGGGGTTCACAAGACCTTTGCCACGCTCCAGCTGGATTTCTTCTGGCCGGGCATGGAAAAGGACGTGGGGGATCTCTTGGGGTCATGCACGCAATGCGCGCAGAGGAAGCCGCCTGCGAGGGGGTCCAACCCTCCGCTGCAGTCCATAAAAGTTTCCCGGGTTAACGAGCTCGTCGCTCTGGACATACTTGGGCCATTT